CTTCCTGACATTGCGTACAGCGTTCAGACCAAGGGTAAACAACAGACTTTTGCAACATCCAGGACTAGTATTTAGACGCTAGCATGGTGGAGGAAAATGGTGTTTCATAAAGAAAGTATGGATAGTTTCCCTGTTTTTTTCCACCTTCTCACTATTAAATCGAGTTAAGGAGGAAATCGACACCTTTGCAACCTGAATGGGGAATGTTTTATGTACGAACCGGTCCATGGGGGATACGAGTGTATAGCCGGCTGCATACATTCCCTTTGGATGGTAAATGAGGCATTTATTCTTGAAGTGATGACTTATCTTAGAACCAGTTTAGCCCAAAGAGCTACAGTACCTCCTACCTCTACCCCCAGAAAACATAAATAAATCATACAAAATGTAAGCATTAAATTAATGTCTAAAGGAGACTGACTAAGATCCCAAAAGCCTGTGCATGCATAGAGCCAAGGTGACAACTATCTACCTTTCAATTAAACCCATAAATCAGATATAATCAGGTTTTAATATCGATAATTGCAATGAGACTCCAGTGTACGATCCTCTGCACCTCTTTCACCTCCAGCTAAACAGCTTTGTCATTGGAGTGAAAAGCAGAAGGAGAGAGAGGGAGAAAGAGAGAGCGAGGGAAAGCTAGAAGCAGAATTATTCCCTTTTCATTTCTCCTGCTTGTGATTTCGGGGTATGGTATGATGATGTAAAACAGTTTTTCCCAATCCTCAACCTGAGGACCCAAAGGGGTGCACTTAGCACTAAGTAACACTTGATTCAACTAATCAACTCATCATCAAGCCTTTAATTGAATCAGGTGTGCTACAGTAGTGCTAGGGCAAAACAAACATGCACCTTTTTGGGTCCCCAGGACCTTAATTGGGAAACACTGACGTAAAACATGATGTGGACATTACTGCATCATATGTGTCAGTCCCTTTTGTAGACTTCTCTGGTTAGCGTACCAATGTTAGAGAGAAAATGACAGGGGCACAGGGAGTGAGGGAGGGAGAGGTGGAGAGCCGGAGAGAGAGACTGAGGGAGATAGATGTGTGGAGACATTAATGGCTTGCAGGTGTTTTGTGGAGAACAGAGCGAGCGAATGGGGGATGGGGAGAGAGATAGAGAGATGGAGCAGTAGGTTGGTTTTCCCCACGCTGTCATTATGTTTTATGGGTGCTGCGTTTGTGCTCTTAAGTGGATATATATTACTGTAAGCACAGGCCATGTGATGAAGGTGATAGTGTTGGAGCTGAAAGGGTACAAAAGGATGAGTGAGTTGTGCGTGTCAGTATGTAGGATGGAAATAGTTCAAATAAGTATATGAGATTGAGGGAATGGGGGAGCAAGATCTTAACAGGAAAAGACAAGGACCAAACACGAACTGTAAGAGAAAGTTTAGGGCAAGATTAGGTGGAGGTGAGATAGAAGAAAAATAAAGATAAATGGAGACTGAAAGGTCATGCTAAATCCAACAAGCTCTCACAATCTCATGTCAGAATTAGACGTTCATCCATGTTTCTCAAACGTCAAATTTCTAAGTTGTTCCAAACGTCAAGTGTTTGGTAACTTTTCTGTATCGTTCCAAGGTTAAGTTTAGGCATTAACTCCAAATGGTTAAGGTAAGGGTTAAGGTTTGGGATAGGTTTAAAACAAAAATATAAAAAACAACTTTCTATCGCTGGATTCGAACATGCAACCTTTGGAAGAACCCTAGCAAAACCAAAGCCTCCTTGAAGGTAACAACGCTCACTGTTGCTCCTAGTGGCCGGTTTCCACATCATCTCCCGACGTCCTCAGACATGGATGGACATCGAATACTGACTTGTATCACGGGTGACCTGCCTGGCTAAATCATTCTTATAAAGAACGTTCCTGACTAAACAACTTAGTAACTGAATAATTTAACTTAGGATATACATGTATGAAGACTTTTGCTAAAAGTAAGATTTTTATTGTCATCATTTTAATCATTGTCATTCCATTTACATGTTTTTTAAATTGATTCTTGTCAAAGGTAAACACAATTCTTGTTGTTGTCTCCAACATTAGTAAATTCTTTTTTTAATCCCCCCGGCCCCTAACATAAACTAACATTACTGAAGCAAACACTCTATCTCTCAAACACTCCTGCATATTCAGATCCTACAAACAAGTCCCTCAACGAATACGAAAAGTCTAAAATGCACACATACTCGAAAGCGCGGACAAGCACACTCCTAATACATACGCACAATAATGTGCACGCATATGCCTTTTCTCTCTCACTCTCTCTGACATACACACACACACACACAAACACACACAGAGACACGCACGCACACACACACACACAAACACACACATTCATTCAGTCCCTACCAGCATGTTTCTAAAGTTATATTACAATGCACTATCCTAATTTCTCGTGTCAAGAATTTTAAGTGCAGCACTTGAGGAGTGACGTTTTCTATCCAGTATCACCTCTCCTCTTATTTCCCCCGTGCTGCTGGCATAAATGCTATGGTGAAATGGTCCACCCACACAGACAGTGTGGTGAAGAAGGGGCAAAAGTGCCTCTTCAACCTCAGGAGGCTGAAGAAATTTGGCTTGGCACCTAAAACCCTCACAAACATTTACAGATGCACAATTGAGAGCATCCTGTCGGGCTGTATCACTGCCTGGTACAGCAACTGCACCGCCCGCAACCGCAGGGCTCTCCAGAGGGTGGTGCGGTCTGCCCAACGCATCACCGGGGGCAAACTACCTGCCCTCCAGGACACCTACAGCACCCAATGTCACAGGAAGGCCAAAAAGATAATTAAGGACAACGACAACAACAACCTGAGCCACTGACTGTTCACCCCGCTATCATCCAGAAGGCGAGGTGCATCAAAGCTGGGACCGAGACTCTGAAAAACAGCTTCTATCTCAAGGCCATCACTATTAAATAGCCATCACTAGGCGGCTTCCACCCGGTTACGTAACCCTGCACCTTAGAGGCTGCTGCCCCATATACATAGACTTGAAATCACTGGCCACTTTAATAATGGAACACTAGTCACTCTAATAATGTTTACATATTTTTGCTTTACTCATCTCATATGTATATACTGTATTCTATTCTACTGTATTTTAGTCAATGCCACACCGACATTGCTCACCCTAATATTTATATATTCCTTAATTCCATTCTTTTACATTTAGGTTGTGTGTATTGTTGTGAATTGTTAGATATACTGCACTGTTGGATCTAGAAACACAAGCATTTCGCTACACCCGCAATAACATCTGCTAAACGTGTATGTGACGAATAAAATTTGATTTGATTTAAATGTGATGCTTTATAACATGTGAGAAGAATAGTTACATCTCTCCTCAAAAGTCTTAATTGGCACACATCCATGTACTGTACTTAACAGAAGCAAATGCTTTAGCAAAAATAAAAAAGTTTAAAAAATAGTTTGGTACAATAGCTTTGTGAAAAAATACTTGAAAATGTACATGAATAAACAAGCAAATAAATAAATAATGTAAACAAATGTGTAAATAAATGTTAATAAACCATACAGCATTGTCATCGATAATACAATCCTAATATTGTCCGACTTTATAGTATAAAACAGTAAATCAGTGGACTGCTGTCTGTTTGGACATTCACGCATGTTTACAAAATGGCGGCTAAAGTAATCTGTGACACAAATCACAGTCTCCTCAGGCACCTGCCGCACTGTGACTATTGTATTGGGTGGTTACCACGGTGACTGAGATTGCAATAATGAACAGCCCTGATTCGGAAACCTTTGAAAGTGATGGGGAAAAATAAAAAATAAATCAGGTCTGGATTTGTAGGGTATTTGTTGTTATGAAATGTTTAATATTGTAATTTGTGGTATTAGAAACCATTCTGTTGACTATTGACACAAGATTGCTACCTGGAACCCAGACAAAGTGTTATGGGTAGATGTATCAGGCAAAAACACAGATGTGAGCTTCTAGAAATGCCCTCAAAGCACAGGTCCAGAGTCTCTTTTATTCCAGTAATAAGGTTTGAAGGCAGATATGAAAAACAGATCTAGGACCAGTTCTTGGAGGGCACTGTTTATTTTGTCCTTGACATGTGGGCTTTGGACCTTTCTATGCACCACAAAGCCATGGTTAGAGAACATCTGGAGGAGATGGATAAGGGCTCTCGAAAGCCTTATAGAGATTCTTTCAAAATATTTCTGTCTTCCGGTCAACACCCTCAACACCTGGGCCACAGTGTGACCAACTCGTATCCATGACAGTAGAAGATGGGTTAACGTCCGGTAGAATGGCAGCAGTGTAGAGAAATGGCTGCAAGTATATGGCACAGCACAGTACAGTGAATCTTGGCAGAGTCCAGCATGGTCCACAGTACTGCAGCACAGCCAAGTCCAGCTGAGTCCATCAAAGCCCATTGGAGGCCTACAGTCCACAGTCCATTGGTCAGGCTCAGTGGAGCCCAGTCCAGTTATGTCCATCCTAGTCCATAGAGCTCAAAGGTCCTCCATATTGGGACTAGCTGAAGACAATGTAATGCGAGTTCATTCGCAGATAGACAGGCAGCTCCCATTACAAATCTCACTGCACATGTCCTACTTTAACTGTGTGTGTAGCCAGAGGCAGCCTAGGCATGATGGCAGTATCATGTCTAAGTCTGAATGCCATTTTCTGCTCTTGGTCTGTGTGGTGGCACACCAAATGCATGAAATGCGGTGGCACTTATGCACGTAGTGTATGTCCGACAACTCATGAACCAAAGACGTCATGTCGCACAAACTGTGTATCAACAGTGATTACAGGTGAGTTAAGATAGAATTGAGTGAGTACGATCCGAGAGTAAGTCCTGTTTTTTATGGTTGTGTCAAATTGATTGTTGAATTGTGTGTCCATTCCTTGGTTCCCTCCCACTTTCTAATTGAACCCAGGGTCAGCGGATACAGAGCCCTTCAGGCTAAGCGGTTCAGGTATCCATGTGATGTCACTCGTGGAGACAGTCGCTAGGAGACCAGGAGGGCGGAGATGAGCAGTGTTGCCACGGTGAGCAGAAGGCGATCGCGTGATGGGCTGCTGCCGCTGACGCTCTTCTCCAGTTTGGGAATTTCAGGGTTAAATTCATCTGAGAGAGAGAGAGAGAGAGAGAGAGAGAGAGAGAGAGAGAGAGAGAGAGAGAGAGAGAGAGAGAGAGAGAGAGAGAGAGAGAGAGAGAGAGAGAGAGAGAGAGAGAGAGAGAGAGAGAGAGAGAGAGAGAGAGAGAGAGAGAGAGAATCAAATTACACATTCACTGACACATTAACTCAATCAATCTACAGCTGATGTTGTGCAATGCATACAAATAATGCACATCCACATGTAGAGAACAGAGAGAATTTTTACAAAAATCTGCAATTATCATCAGTGCTGCTACATATGATGCCACATTCCCTCTTGGGAGGAGGAATAAACACACTTTGTTGTTCATCTTTAAATGTACGCATATTTATATTCTAATGATTCAGCTTCATCTAGCAGGATTTGCAATGAAATGAAATGAACATAGAACAAACCCATTGATTAGGCACAATCCTACAATAGCTGGAGAGCAAGAGAGAGAACAAGGAAAAGTAAGCCTGGGATGTGTGACCAGAATCCTGAGCCTCCCTATAGACCCCTATGGGGACAGACACTGAAGAGTTAACAAACTAAGAGAGACATACATACAAGATGTGACACTGGTACGACTGATACGACGAGCATCCAGGTATAGACACCGACGAATGACACTTCCACGTTCGGTGGAAATGTCTAGATTTTTTTCCCGGTGACTCAAAAGAAGGAACAACATCCAACTCATCCGGTTTGTCTGTGCATCTGCCATGTCAAAGCCATTCTTAGAAATATTAGGAAACATGTCTGTCGGCTACGACGATGACACATAACCCTGACATCCACACCAGTGGCATGGTCAAATAAAGTAATATGGTAAAGTGATAGGGCCGGGTCAAGTTGAGTACATGTGGTAAACTGAGACTGTTCCAGCTGACAGCTAGATTGCCCATAGAGTTAGATAGAGGACCAGATGGATATAAGCCATTTTAGCATGCCACTGAGGGCTTCCACCATTTTAAAGCAGTCAATTGGGTGGGGATTCCTATGGGTTTGGAGCGATCAGCCAATGATCAGAGCATGGTCCTCTTCTTCAAATTGGATGGCCTATGGTTAGTTAATGGCTTTAAGCTATATAACCACCATCTAGTGGCCATAATAAACCCACAAGATTTGATTCAGGACTCCAGCACTACAGGTGGCGGTAAATCACCAATATTAGCTTTAAACCTTTTTCAAACACATAAGAAAAATAACATTGACTACTTGGAGACAGCCTCAATGGCTGTCACAGATGCCATAATTGCACAAATACAAAGACGAGTCCTTTATTTAACTCCATGAGATTAGCTGACAAGGATTTCATCAGTATGCTATCACAAACAGGGAGGGGCGTTGAGTGAGTTTCTTCCATAGAAACAGTAAGTGAGTGTTAACCTGAACAGGAAGTTAGTATGCTGCAAAGTTAGAGAATATTGACACTGTATTAGGTGGAATAGTGTTCCTGATTGTGTAAGGTAGTGTTTTTTTATGGGGTGGATCAGATTTAATATTGCAGATAGATTGTGGATTCTATCAATGTAATTGTCTGCATAATTTCCAATCCCCCTCATATTTTTTTGTAAATATATACTGAACACAAATATAAACGCAACATGCACTAATTTCAAAGATTTTACTGAGTTCATATAAGGAAATCAGTCAACTGAAATAAATTCATTAGGCCCTAATCTATGGATTTCACATGACTGGGAATACAGATATGCATGCACCTGTTGGTCACATATAACTTTTTTAAAAGGTAGTGGCGTGAATCAGAAAATCAGTCAGTATCTGTTGTGACCACCATTTGCCTCACGCAGCGCGGCACATCTCCTTCGCATAGAGTTGATCAGACTGTTGATTGTGGAATGTTGTCCCACTCCTCTTCAATGGCTGTGCGAAGTTGCTAGATATTGTTGGGAAATGGCACATTGAGTATGCAGGTCATGGAAGAACTGGGACATTTTAAGCTTCCAGGAAATGTGTACAGATCGTTGCGACATGGGGCCATGCATTATCATGCTGAAACATGAGGTGATGGCGGCGGATGAATGGCACGACAATGGGCCTCAGGATCTCGTCACGGTATCTCTGTGCATTCAAATTCAAATCGATAAAATGCAATTGTGTTCGTTGTCCGTAGCTTATGCCTGACCATACCATAACCCCACCGCCACCATGGGGCACTCTGTTCACAACATTGACGTAAGCAAACTGCTCGCCCACACGACGCGGTTCTGAAGCCGGTTGGACGTACTGCCAAATTCTCCAAACAACGTTGGAGGCGGCTTATGGTAGAAAAATGAACATTCAACTGGCAAGAGCTCTGGTGGACATTCCTGCAGTCAGCATGCCAATTGCACGCTCCCTCAAAACTTGAGACATCTGTGGCATTGTGTTGTGTGACAAAACTGCACATTTTAGAGTGGCCTTTTATTGTCCTCAGCACAAGATGCACCTGTGTAATGATCATGCTGTTGAATCAGCTTCTTGATTTGCCACACCAGTTAGGTGGATGGGTTATCTTGGCAAAGGAGAAATTCTCACTAACAGGGATGTAAACAAATTTGTGCAGAACATTTGAGAGAAATTAGTTTTTTGTCCGTATGGAAAATGTCTGGGATCATTTATTTCAGCTCATGAAACATGGGACCAACACTTTATATGTTGCGTTTATATTTTTGTTCAGTGTATATACACTACCAGTCAAAAGTTTGGACACACCTACTCATTCAAGGGTTTTTCTTTATCTTTTACATTGTAGAATAATAATGAAGACATCAAAACTATGAAATAACACATGGAATCATGTAGTAACCAAAAAAGTGTTAAACAAACCAAATATATTTTATATTTGAGATTCTTCAAATAGCCACCCTTTGCCTTGATGACAGGTTTGCACACTCTTGGCATTCTCTCAACCAGCTTCACCTGGAATGCTTTTCCAACAGTCTCCCATATATCTCTGAAGACCATCCAGTTTTGATTTGACCAATATATTTTTCCACTGTGCTGTGATGTTTCACAAACGTTCTGAACCTTCCTATTCTCATAGTTTCTACAGATTGTAAATTAAAGAAACATTTTTGCTAAGAGTATTCTTATATTATTGATCAATTGACTATGACTTTTCAAATCACCCAGCAGTGCTATTTGCAGAGTTAGCTCCAGGTAAATGTTGCAATTCTTCAGCCATTCCTGAATCTGCGACCAAAAACAAGCTACATAAGGGCAGTACCAAAACAAGTGATCTAATCTCTTCACAGCAAACTCTGCAGAGCTGGAATGATTGTATCCCCCATATACAGTGCATTCGGAGAGTATTCAGACCCCTTGACTTTTTCCACATTTTGTTATGTTACAGCCTTATTCTAAAATTGATAACATTATTTTTTCCCTCATCAATCTACACACAATACCCCATAATGACAAAGCAAAAACTGGTTTTTAGAAATGTTAGCAAATGTATTAAAAATAAAAAACAGAAATACCTAATTTACATAAGTATTCAGACCCTTTGCTATGAGACTCAAAATTGAGCTCAGGTGCATCCTGTTTCCATTGATCATCTTTGAAATGTTTCTACAATTGATTGGACATGATTTGGAAAGGCACACACCTGTCTATATAAGGTCCAACAGTTGACAGTGCATGTTAGAGCAAAAAACAAGCCATGAGGTCGAAGGAATTGTCCGTAGAGCTCTGAGACAGGATTGTGTCGAGGCACAGATCTGGGGAAGGGTACCAGAACATTTCTGCAGCATTGAAGGTCCCCAAGAACACAGTGGCCTCCATCATTCTTAAATGGAAGAAGTTTGGAACCACCAAGACTCTTCCTAGAGCTGGCCGCCCGGCCAAACTGAGCAATCAGGGGAGAAGGGCCTTGGTCAGGGAGGTGACCAAGAACCCGATGGTCACTCTGTGGAGATGGGAGAACCTTCCAGAAGGACAACCATCTCTGCAGCACTCCACTAATCACGCCTTTATGGTAGAGTGGCCAGACGGAAGCCACTCCTCAGTAAAAGACACATGACAGCCCGCTTGGAGAGATCCTTGATAAAAACCTGCTCCAGAGCCCTCAGTACCTCAGACTGGGGCGAAGGTTCACCTTCCAACAGGACAATGACCCTAAGCACACATCCAAGACAACGCAGGAGTGGCCTAGGTACAAGTCTCTGAATGTCCTTGAGTGGCCCAGCCAGAGCCCAGACTTGAACTCGATCGAACATCTCTGGAAAGACCTGAAAATAGCTGTGCAGCGACGCTCCCCATCCAACCTGACATAGCTTGAGAGGATCTGCAGAGAAGAATGGGCGAAACTCCCAAGAAGACTCGAGGCTGTAATCGCTGTCAAAGGTGGTTCAACAAAGTACTGAGTAAAGGGTCTGAATAATTATGTAAATGTGATATATCTGTTTATTATTTGTAATCATGTGCAAACATTTCTAAATACTTGTTTTTGCTTTGTCATTATGGGGTATTGTGTGTAGATTGATGAGGGGAAAAAACGACTATCAATTTTAGAATAAAGCTGTAACGTAACAAAATGTGGAAAAAGTCAAGGGGTATGTCATGCCTACTCCCACTCCTGTGCTCGACGTCGCCGGTGTATTAACCACCAGTCCTGGCAATCATCATTACGCACACCTGCTCCCCATCATTACGCACACCTGGACCTCATCATCCCCTTGATTACTCTCCCTTTATTTTGCCCTCCGTAGTCTCAGTCAATCAGGCAGTATTGGTTTTGTTCACGTTCAGTACGCTACTGTTTTGTTTATCTGCCTTTTCTTATCATTAAACTTACCTTCTGCACCTGCTTCCTGACTCCCAGTGTATACCTTACAGAATACTGCCTCACATATTATGGAAGCAGCAGAAGAGGAAGGCATCTCCTAGACGGTCGACGAACAGGGACACCTACTCCACCAACCCTGTGCAAGGGGTCCTCCGCGTCCTCCACTGCCTCGACACCAGCCGAGAGGATTCAGCTCCAACTAACGGTTGGCCTCCTTTCACGAGTCATCCCAGCAAGCCAGCCCCCCAGCCTACCCAGCAGTCCACCCAGGTTAGCGATGCCCGACTGTCCTAGACAAGTATGATGGGACTCCATCCCAATGCCGTGGCTTCTTACTCCAGTGCTCCCTCTATTTCTCCCACCACCGAGAGGTCCAAGGTTGCCACAGTCATTTCCCTGCTCACCGGACGGTCGTTGGAGTGGGCTACGGCCATCTGGGAGAGAGGAGAGGAGGCGCTGGGTTCCTACGAGAGGTTCATGGCTCTGTTCAGGGCGGTCTTTGACCATCCACCAGAGGGCAGCGAGGGAGGAGAGCGACTATTCCAACTCCGGCAGGGTTCCCAGACCATTGCTGAGTACGCCCTCAATTGGCGCTCTGAACCCTATTCCGAAGAGGACTGCGCGAGGAGGTCCAGATGGAGTTGGCGTGTCGGGACGACAACCTTTCCTTGAACATGCTCATTGCGATGGCCATCCGTCTGGACAACCTTCTTCGGGAGCACCGGCACCCCACTCGCCCTCCTCCTTTGGCTGTCCTAAGGCAGAGCCTGAACCCATGGAGGTAGGGGCCACACACCTCTCTGTGGCAGAGCGGCGTCTCCGGAGACAGCTGGGGCTATGTTCTTATTGCAGCCAGGGGGGGCACCAGCTTCAGCCGTGTCCGGTGCGTCCCAATCCGGGGTCCACAGGGACAGAGGGGCGGCCCCGTGATCATCCGTCTCCCGGGGTAGGCGTGAGTATTCCATCATCATCGCTTTCCGCCAAACTCTTCCTGGTTTCCATTTCACTGGCTGGCTGTTCCTCATGTGTTGTCTCTACAGCTCTAGTGGACTCCTGTGCCGTTTGGAATTTCATCGACCAGGCCCTCGCCTCCTCCCTGAACATCACCTCGTACCCATTCTCCTCTCCTTTTCCGGTCCAAGCCTTGAATAATTAACCATTGGGATCCGGCACAATCGCACACATAACAGCACCACTCACCCTCACCGTGGGACCCCTGCACAAAGAAAGCCTTCCCTTCCTCATCATCAACGCACCCGTGCACAAAGTCATCCTCGGCCTCCCGTGGCCCCAACGTCATGACCCCACCATCTGCTGGTCGAGGATGAAAATCACCTCCTGGGCACCCGGATGTCGGAAGACCTGCTTTTCCTTACCCTGTGGTTTCACGTCGGTTGAGAGTCCTGTGGTTGCCCTCCAGCCCGACATCCCGGAGGTTTACCAGGATCTCCGGGAGGTTTTCTCCAAGACCCGCGCCACCTGTCTCCCTCCTCATTGCCCCTGAGACTGTGCCGTCGACCTGCTTGCAGACTCTGCGCCTCCGTGCAGCCGCGTCTACCCTCTGTCGGTGGCTGAAACCGAGGCCATGGAGAAGTACATCCAGGAGGCTCTTCAATAGGGTATCTCCCCTGCGTCGGCAGGCTTCTCCTTTGTGGCCAAGAAGGACGGGTGTCTACGTCCGTGCATCGATTACAGAGGTCTCAATTCAATCACCACCAAGTACCGCTACCCTCTTTCGTTGGTGCCAGCTGTCATCGAACAGCTCCGCGGGGCCTGTTTCTTTTACTATACTGGACCTGTGGAGTGCCTACAATCTGATCCGCATCCGGGAGGGGGATGAATGGAAAACTGCCTTCAGCACGATGTCTGGGCTTGGTGTACTTGGTGATGCCTTATAGATTAGCCAATATTCCGTCGGAGTTCCAGGCATTCGTGAACGAGGTGTTCCGGGACATGCTCGGGCGCCAGGTGGTCGTGTATATCGATGACATCCTGGTCTACTCGGCCACCTTGGAGGATCACATCGCCCACATCCGGGGTAGTCCTGGGACGCCTCCTGGAGAACCACCTGTATGTTAAAGCAGAGAAGTGCCAGTTCCATCAGGTCTCCTTCTTGGGATACCGTATCAGCCCACACGGAGTGGTGATGGATGAGAGGAAGGTCGAGGCAGTCAGGTCATGGCCAGTCCCAACCACCGTAAAGGGACTATAACGGTTTTTGGGGTTTGCCAACTTCTACCGCCACTTCATTAACTTCAGCTCCATCGCCTCTCCTCTCACCTCTCTCCTCAAGGGTGGTCCCCGTAAGTTGGTGTGGAGTCCTGCAGCCGATGAGGCCTTCCGCCTACTGAAGGGGCGTTTCACCTCCGCCCTGTTGCTGAAAACACCCAGATCCTAAGCTGCCCTTCGTTGTGTAGGTGGACGCCTAAGAAGTGGGTGTGGAGGCCGTCCTGTCCCAACGCCATGGTAACCCACAGAAAGTGTATCCATGTGCATACTACTCTCAGAAACTGTTTCCTGCAGAGAGGAACTATGACGTCGGCGACCGGGAGCTCCTGGCGGTGAAGTTGGCATTAGAGGAGTGGAGACACTGGCTGGAGGGCACGAAGGACCTCATCCTCACCAACCATCGGAACCTGAAGTACATACGGACAGCGAGGCGGCTGAACCTCGCCAAGCAAGGTGGGCCCATTTCTTCACTAGATTCAACTTCACCCTGTCATATCGCCCAGGTTCAAAGAACATTAAAGCTGATGCCCTGTCCCGTCTCCACGATTCGGGAGAGGTTCCTGTCCTGAGTGCGCCCATCAGTCCGCCCTCCTGAATCGTTGCCCCCATGCTTTGGGACGTAGATGTGGACATCCGTCAAGCTCTGGAGAGGGAACCCGTGCATGCTACCTGCCCTCTGGAGCGCACCTACGTCCCCACGGAGGTAAGGGATCGGCTGTTGACCTGGGCGCACACATCCCTTGCCGCTGGACACCCAGGTATCCCCCGCACCATTCAATCCATCTCCACAAAGTACTGGTGGCCCACCTTGGCGCAGGACATTGCCCGCTACGTCAACTCCTGCTCCTTATGTGCCCAAACCAAATCTTCCCAGCACGCTCCAGCAGGGAAACTGGGACTGATTTCTGCCTGAGACTGTCAAGAATCAAGATGGGTTATGAAAAAAAAAAATATATATATATATACATGTATGCACTCACTAACTGTAAGTCGCTCTGGATAAGAGCGTCTGCTAAATGACTAAAATGTAAATGTAATGTAAACTCCTTCCCCTTCCCGTGCCTCAGCGGCCTTGGTCCCAACCGTCCATAGATTTTGTTACCCCGTCTGATGGTTTCAGCACTGTTATGGTTGTTGTGGACAGATTCTCAAAATCCTGGCATTTTATCCCTCTCTCTGTTCTCCCTACCGCTCTCCAGGTCGCTGAAGCACTGTTCCAGCAGGACTTCCAGCGCTATGGCCTTCCGGGGGACAGCGTCTTTGACCGTGGCCCCCAATTCACATTGCGGGTATATGGAGAGACTTCATGGAGAAGCTGGGGGCCACAGCCAGCCTCACATCCGAGTAACAGCCTCAGTCCAACGGGCAGGTGGAGAGGACCAACCAGGATCTGGGGAGGTTCCTTAGGAGTCACTTCCAGGACCGGCAGGGGGAATGGGCCCGGTTCCTTCCCTGGGTGGAGTACGCCCAGAACTCACTTCGTCACTCCTCCACCGGGCTGACTCCCTTCCAGTGTGTCCTGGGATATCAGCCGGCCCTGGCCCCATGGACCCCGAGCCAGACCGAAGCCCCTGTGGTGGACAAGTGGTTCAGGCGCGCAGAGGAGGTTTGGAACGCTGCCCACGTGAGGCTCCCGTGTTCCATCCTGGTGATTGCGTCGGGCTCTCCACTAGGAACCTCCCGCTCTGCCTGCCCTGCCGGGAGCTGAGGCCCCGGTTTGTGGAGCCCTTCAAGGTCCTCCGGAGGGTCAATGAGGTAACATATCAATTACAACTCCCCATCAACTACCGGATCTCACTCTCTTTTCATGTTTTCCTTCTCAGGCCGGTAGTTCCTGGTCCCCTGGCTGGTGCCGTCCCCTGCGACACCCCTCCGCCTCCCCTGGACATCTATGAGACCCCTACCTATGCCGTCAGGTCCCTCCTGGACTCCCGACACCAGTACCTGGTGGACTGGTAGGGGTACGGCCCAGAGGAGCGCAGTTGGGTCCCGGCGGCCTATATCCTGGACCCCAACATCGTCCGGGATTTCCATCTCCGCCATCTGGACTGGCCCGCTCCTCACCCTTGGGGCCGTCCCCCTGGCCGGCGTCATCCTGCGGCTGTCACGCCTACTCCAGCTCCCCCGCTCTGGCGCTCAAATCGCTGGTCTACTAACCACAGGTCCTGGCAATCATCATTATGCACACCTGCTCCCCATTGTTACGCACACCTAGACCTCATCATCACCTTGATTACTCTCCTCTTATTAGCCCTCAGTAGCCTCAGTCATCAGGCAGTATTGGTTTTGTTCATGTTCAGTACGCTTCTCCTGTTTTGTTTCTCTACCTTTTCTTATCATTTAACTTACCTTCTGCACCTGCTTCCTGACTCCCAGCATATACGTTACAGGGTCTGAATACTTTCCAAATGCACTGTATACATATATATCTCACAAAAGTGAGTAAACCCCTCACATTTTTGTAAATATTTGAGTATATCTTTTCATGTGACAACACTGAAGAAATGACACTTTGGTACAATGTAAAGTAGTGAGTGTACAGCTTGTATAACAGTGTAAATTTGCTGTCCCCTCAAAATAACTCAACACACAGCCATTAATGTCTAAACCGCTGGCAACAAAAGTGAGTACACCCCTAAGTGAAAATGTCCAAATTGGGCCCAATTAGCCATTTTCCCTCCCCGGTGTCATGTGACTCGTTAGTGTTACAAGGTCTCAGGTGTGAATGGGGAGCAGGTGTGTTAAATTTGGAGTCATCGCTCTCACACTCCCTCATACTGGTCACTGGAAGTTCAACATGGCACCTCATGGCAAAGAACTCTCTGAGGATCTGAAAAAAAGAATTGTTGCTCTACATAAAGATGGCCTGGGCTATAACAAGATTGCCAAGACCCTGAAACTGAGCTGCAGCACGGTGGCCAAGACCATACAGCGGTTTAACAGGACAGGTTCCACTCAGAACAGGCCTCGCCATGGTCGACCAAAGAAGTTGAGTGCACGTGCTCAGCGTCATATCCAGAGGTTGTCTTTGGGAAATAGACGTATGCTGCCAGCATTGCTGCAGAGGTTGAAGGGGTGTGGGGTCAGCCTGTCAGTGCTCAGACCATACGCCGCACACTGCATCAAATTGGTCTGCATGGCTGTCGTCCCAGAAGGAAGCCTCTTCTAAAGATGATGCACAAGAAAGCCCGCAAACAGTTTGCTGAAGACAAGCAGACTAAGGACATGGATTACTGGAACCATGTCCTGTGGTCTGATGAGACCAAGATAAACTTATTTGGTTCAGATGGTGTCAAGCGTGTGTGGTGGCAACCAGGTGAGGAGTACAAAGACAAAAGTGTGTCTTGCCTACAGTCAAGCATGGTGGTGGAGTGTCATGGTCTGGGGCTGCATGAGTGCTGCCGGCACTGGGGAGCTACAGTTCATTGAGGGAACCATGAATGCCAACATGTACTGTGACATACTGAAGCAGAGCATGATCCCCTCCCTTCGGAGACTGGGCCACAGGGCAATATTCCAACATGATAACGACCCCAAACACACTTCCAAGACGACCACTGCCTTGCTAAAGAAGCTGAGGGTAAAGGTGATGGACTGGCCAAGCATGTCTCCAGACCTAAACCCTATTGAACATCTGTGGGGCATCCTCAAACGGAAGGTGGAGTGCAAGGTCTCTAACATCCACCAGCTCCGTGATGTCGTCATGGAGGAGTGGAAGAGGACTCCAGTGGCAACCTGTGAAGCTCTGGTGAACTCCATGCCCAAGAGGGTTAAGGCAGCGCTGGAAAATGATGGTGGCCACACAAAATATTGACACTTTGGGCCCAATTTTGACATTTTCACTAAGGGGTGTACTCACTTTTGTTGCCAGCGGTTTAGACATTAATGGCTGTGTGTTTAGTTATTTTGAGGGGACAGCAAATTTACACTGTTATACAAGCTGTACACTCACTACTTTACATTGTAGCAAAGTGTCATTTCTTCAGTGTTGTCACATGAAAAGATATGCTGAAATATTTACAAAAATGTGAGGGGTGTACTCACTTTTGTGACATACTATATACAGTGGGGGAAAAAAGTATTTAGTCAGCCACCAATTGTGCAAGTTCTCCCATTTAAAAAGATGAGAGAGGCCTGTAATTTTCATCATAGGTACACGTCAACTATGACAGACAAAATGAGATTTTTTTTTCCTCCAGAAAATCACATTGTAGAATTTTTAATGAATTTATTTGCAAATTATGGTGGAAAATAAGTATTTGGTCAATAAAAAAAGTTTCTCAATACTTTGTTATATTCCCTTTGTTGGCAATGACACAGGTCAAACGTTTTCTGTAAGTCTTCACAAGGTTTTCACACACTGTTGCTGGTATTTTGGCCCATTCCTCCATGCAGATCTCCTCTAGAGCAGTGATGTTTTGGGGCTGTCGCTGGGCAACACGGACTTTCAACTCCCTCCAAAGATTTTCTATGGGGTTGAGATCTGGAGACTGGCTAGGCCACTCCAGGACCTTGAAATGCTTCTTACGAAGCCACTCCTTCGTTGCCCGGGCGGTGTGTTTGGGATCATTGTCATGCTGAAAGACCCAGCCACGTTTCATCTTCAATGCCCTTGCTGATGGAAGGAGGTCCATCATCTTTTTAAGTGGGAGAACTTGCACAATTGGTGGCTGACTAAATACATTTTTTCCCCACTGTATGTATATATATATATATATTAGGGCTGTCAAAAATAGCGCGTTAACGACGTTAATTAGTTGTTTGCTGTTAATTACGTCAATTTTTTTAACGCATTTCACGCATGCGCAGTGTGACAAATTATTCAGGTCAGGAAAGTGGTTGGGAGCTAGAGGCGAGATGGAGCAAGGTGAGCAAAGTGGGCCTATTGACGGATTCAAATATAAAAAGAATGATGATGGTACAGTTAACAAGTACAAGGTTATTTGCAAGATTTGTAAGAAGGAGTTTCAATTTCACCGGAGCTGTTCAAGCTTGAAGTACCATGTCAACGCCAAACATGCGTTTGCTGGGCCGTCAGATTCAGCAAGTGGTTTGCGCCAGACCACGCTGAATGTTTGCAGGCAATTAACAAAATCAACCTCAGATAATTTGACCAACACAATAGCAAAATGGATTGCAAAGGATTGTAGACCCATTAGCATTGTAGAAGACTCAGGTTTCCTTGATGTTTTGCAAGTGGCGTCTCAAGACTCATTCTATAAGCCACCGTCAAGAGCCACAGCCAAAGACAAATATTATGGTGTGTAGTATGTTTCAGCTTGATTTAAAACACCATTATTTGGCTGTGTTAATAAACAGACATAATATGAAAATTATGTATCTGTGTCCTGTTATTTATCTTTTGGTATGCATTTCAGAAAAAAAATGGTTAGGATTCAGGTGTAATTGCAAATAGTGATTAATCATGATTAATCCACTGAAAATTCTGATTAATTTGATTAAAAATTTTAATCATTTGACAGCCCTAATATATATATATATATATAGATAGTCAGCCACCAATTGTGCAAGTTCTCCCATTTAAAAAGATGAGAGAGGCCTGTAATTTTCATCATAGGTACACGTCAACTATGACAGACAAATTGAGAATTTATTTTCCAGAAAATCACATTGTAGGATTTTTAATGAATTTATTTGCAAATTATGGTGGAAAATAAGTATTTGGTCACCTACAAACAAGCAAGATTTCTGGCTCTCACAGACCTGTAACTTCTTCTTTAAGAGGCTCCTCTGTCCTCCACTCATTACCTGTTAATTAATGGCACCTGTTTGAACTTGTTATCAGTATAAAAGACACCTGTCCACGACCTCAAACAGTCACACTCCAAACTCCACTATGGCCAAGACCAAAGAGCTGTCAAAGGACACCAGAAACAAAATTGTAGACCTGCACCAGGCTGGGAAGACTGTATCTGCAATAGGTAAGCAGCTTGGTTTGAAGAAATCAACTGTGGGAGCAATTATTAGGAAATGGAAGACATACAAGACCACTGATAATCTCCCTTGATCTGGGGCTCCACGCAAGATCTCACCCCATGGGGTCAAAATGATCAGAAGAACGGTGAGCAAAAATCCCAGAACCACACGGGGGGACCTAGTGAATGACCTGCAGAGAGCTGGGACCAAAGTAACAAAGCCTACCATCAGTAACACACTACTCCGCCAGGGACTCAAATCCTGCAGTGCCAGACGTGTCCCCCTGCTTAAGCCAGTACATGTCCAGGCCCATCTGAAGTTTGTTAGAGTGCATTTGGATGATCCAGAAGAGGATTGGGAGAATGTCATATGGTCAGATGAAACCAAAATAGAACTTTTTGGTAAAAACTCAACTCGTCGTGTTTGGAGGACAAAGAATGCTGAGTTGCATCCAAAGAACACCATACCTACTGTGAAGCATGGGGGTGGAAACATCATGCTTTGGGGCTGTTTTTCTGCAAAGGGACCAGGACGACTGATCCGTGTAAAGGAAAGAATGAATGGGGCCATGTATCGTGAGATTTTGAGTGAAAACCTCCTTCCATCAGCAAGGGCATTGAAGATGAAACGTGGCTGGGTCATTCAGCATGACAATGATCCCAAACACACCGCCCGGGCAACGAAGGAGTGGCTTCGTAAGAAGCATTTCAAGGTCCTGGAGTGGCCTAGCCATTCTCCAGATCTCAACCCCATAGAAAATCTTTGGAGGGAGTTGAAAGTCCGTGTTGCCCAGCGACAGCCCCAAAACAGAGGAGATCTGCATGGAGGAATGGGCCAAAATACCAGCAACAGTGTGTGAAAACCTTGTGAAGACTTACAGAAAACGTTTGACCTGTGTCATTGCCAACAAAGGGTATATAACAAAGTAGTAATACTTATTTTCCACCATAATTTGCAAATAAATTCATTAAAAATCCTACAATGTGATTTTCTGGATTTTTTTTTCTCATTTTTCTCATTTTGTCTGTCATAGTTGATGTGTACCTATGATGAAGATGAAACGTGGCTGGGTCTTTCAGCATGACAATGATCCCAAACACACCGCCCGGGAAACGAAGGAGTGGCTTCGTAAGAAGCATTTTAAGGTCCTGGAGTGGCCTAGCCAGTCTCCAGATCTCAACCCCATAGAAAATCTTTGGAGGGAGTTGAAAGTCCGTGTTGCCCAGCGACAGCCCCAAAACATCACTGCTCTAGAGGAGATCTGCATGGAGGAATGGGCCAGAATACCAGCAACAGTGTGTGAAAACCTTGTGAAGACTTACAGAAAACATTTGACCTGTGTCATTGCCAACAAAGGGTATATAACAAAGTATTGAGAAACGTTTTTTATTGACAAAATACTTATTTTCCACCATAATTTGCAAATAAATTCATTAAAAATCCTACAATGTGATTTTATGGATTTTTTATTCTCATTTTGTCTGTCATAGTTGACGTGTACCTATGATGAAAATTACAGGCCTCTCTCATATTTTTAAGTGGGAGAACTTGCACAATTGGTGGCTGACTAAATACTTTTTTTCCCCACTGTATATCATTGTATTGGTTGCAAGAATTTTGTATAATAATTTAAATTGAAAAACAAAGTTTTGAATCAGGCGTCGTTGTGTGCATCAGATCATAAGCAATGTGCCATGGAATCAGTCAATCGAAAATCTCTTCCCAACTATTTTGCAACCTGTATGGTGCAGCTGTCAATTTTTTGTTCCTTAAATTAAACTGGTATACTTTTTTATTTATCACCATTTTCTTTAACCAATTTTGGTCTTTAATGCAGGGCCAACAGTTTCTTATCTCCTCCCCCTTCCATTGCTGTAATGCTGCAATCAGTTGGTTGTTTTTCCTAGCCACCGTGCTTCTACACCTGCATTACTAGCTGTTTGGGGTTTTAGGCTGGGTTTCTGTACAGCACTTCGAGATATTAGCTGATGTAAGAAGGGCTATATAAAATAAAATTGATTGATTGATTGATGGTTGTAATTTTGGATAGAGCAGACGTTTCCATTTATTTTTGTTAACTGCAAAAATGTGCAACTCCCCCAGTCCTATTTTTCCAAAAATGTTTTCCAAAAATATTTATTTTTTTAATCAATTTGTATGTTCTGGTGGCTTAAACTGAAATTGCAACCAGCTTTCTATAGCTTGTTTTAAAAATAGCGATATTTTGGAGATTATTTCATTTTCAAATAACCAAAAGTGAGAGGTTGTAATCTGAGAGGTAGTGTTAGCTAAACTGGGAATCAGGCCTTGGAGAGACATTGGTAATGTCAGATATTGTATACAACTCAAACCATTTCTCCCTCATAGTGTTTATTGAAAAGCCAAGTCCCTTTACTGTCAGTTGAGTACAACATACAGTACATGAGCATTGGCACAGGGGTCATCTATCAATGAGGTATACATGGAGCTGGTACAGTAGGTGTTCTTAGGGATACTGTAAACTGGAGCACTGCTCTAGGGTGTTCTTTGACTCACATACAGGTGAATGGGGGAAACATCCAATAGGAAACATAAATATAACAGAAGAGGTAGTAAAAACACCGATCAGGAGAGAGAGAGGGCGAGGTAAAGCTAATCCAAGGCCAAGACAGGCCCAGAGGGTGAGAGTGTGGGCGGTCAATGTGGCCAGCGAGGCCATCAGGGTTACACAAGTGTTTATGGGTTATAACTTTTATTGTGTCCTCTTTTTGTTGATGCCACTAATGCATTAAGTACAGAAGGATGCATTAGGAGGCCCCAAGGCATTCTGGGTTGTTTGGACTATGTGCATTTACTTTATTTATTTTTCTCCATAAGCTCGGTCATGAGCCATCCGGCCACCATTGAACAACTTTGTGTGTGTGTGTGGTTGTATGTGTTTGTGACAGAGAGAAAGAAAGAGAAAGATAATGTGTGTGTCTGTGTGTGAGTGTAAGCAAGGTGGTATTCAGAACCCATATAAATAATATTATGCCATTACTGAGAGAGAGAGAGAGAGAGAGAGAGAGAGAGAGAGAGAGAGAGAGAGAGAGAGGGGGGCAGAAAGAGAGAGAGAGAGGGGCAGAAAGAGTGGGGGAACGCATCAGAGAGAGCACATCAGGATAGAATAGAGAGCACTCACCAATGTTGTGTATTTTGATATTGGGCCTGACTGTGTAGTCAGGTGGTGTCTGACTGGAATCATCACCGTGGGAGACTTGGAGAGAGAGGAACACAAATATGCAAAGTCATTAAAATGCCCACACTACTTATTTTACACACTAACTGGGCAGTCACTTCTCTATATAGTGCACTACTTTTGACCAGAGAGCAGGTCGCGCCTCAAATGGCACCCTATTCCCTATATAGTGCACTACTTACAGTGCCTTCAGAAAGTATTCACACCCCCTTTATTGTGTTACAAAGTGGGATTCAAATGGATTTAATTGTCATTTTTTGTCAACAATTTACACAAAATACTCTGTAATCTCAAAGTGGAAGAATAATTCTAACATTTGTAAAAAGAAGTCATGAAAAATAAAATACTAATATATCTTGATTAGATAAGTATTCAACCCCCTGAGTCAATACATGTTAGAATCACCTTTGGCAGCGATTACAGCTGTGAGTCTTTTTGGGTAAGTCTCTAAGAGCTTTCCACACCTGGATTGTGCAACATTTGCCCATTATTCTTTTCAAAATTCTTCAAGCCCTGTCAAATTAGTTGTTGATCATTACTAGACAACTATTTTCAGGTCTTGCCATAGATTTCCAAGCAGATTTAAGTCAAAACTTTAACTCGTCCACTCAGGAACATTCACTGTCTTCTTGGTATGCAACTCCAGTGTAGATTTGGCCTTGTGTTTTAGGTTAGTGTCCTGCTGAAAGGTGAATTAATCACCAAGTGTTCTCTAGGATTTTGCCTGTGGTTAGCTCAATTCCATTTCTTTTTTATCCTGAAAAACTCCTCAGTCCTTAACGATTACAAGCGTACCCATAATGTGATGCAGCCACCGCTATTATTGAAAATATGGAGAGTGGTACTCAGTAATGTGTTGTATTGGATTTGCCCCAAACACAACACTTTGTATTCAGGACAAAAAGTGAATTGCTTTGCAGTATTACTTTAGTACCTTGTTGCAAACAGGATGCATGTTTTGGAATATTTTTATTCTGTACAGGCTTCCTTCTTTTCACTCTGTCAATTAGGTTAGTATATTGGAGTAACTACAATGCTTTTGATCCATCCTCAGTTTTCTCCTATCACAGCCATTAAACTTTGTAACTATTTGAAAGTCACTATTGGCTCATGGTGAAATCCCTGAGCGGTTTCCTTCCTCTCCGGTAACTGAGTTAGGAAGGACGCCTGTACAGTGCCTTGCAAAAGTATTCATCCCCCTTGGCGTTTTCCCTATTTTGTTGCATTACAACCTGTAATTTAAATTGATTTTTATTTGGATTTCATGTAATGGACATACACAAAATAGTCCAAATTGGTGAAGTGAAATGAAAAAAATAACTTGTTTCAAAACAATCTAATAAATTAATAACGGAAAAGTGGTGCGTGCATATGTATTCACCCCCTTTGCTATGAAGCCCCTAAATAAGATCTGGTGCAACCAATTACCTTCAGAAGTCACATAATTAGTTAAATAAAGTCCACCTGTGTGCAATCTAAGTGTCACATGATCTGTCACATGATCTCAGTATATATACACCTGTTCTGAAAGGCCCCAGAGTCTGTAACACCACTAGGCAAGGGGCACCACCAAGCAAGCGGCACCATTAATATCAAGAAGCTCTCCAAACAGGTCAGGGACAAAGTTGTGGAGAAGTACAGATCACGGTTGGGTTATAAAAAAATATCCAAAACTTTGAACATCCCGCGGAGCACCATTAAATCCATTATTAAAACATGGAAAGAATATGGCACCACAACAAACCTGACAAGAGAGGGCCGCCCACCAAAACTCACAACAAAGATACCAAAGATAACCCTGAAGGAGCTGCAAAGCTCCACAGCAGAGATTGGAGTATCTGTCCATAGGACCACTTTAAGCCGTACACTCCACAGAGCTGGGCTTTACGGAAGAGTGGCCAGAAAAAAGGCATTGCTTAAAGAAAAAAATAAGCAAACACGTTTGGTGTGCGCCAAAAGGCATGTGGGAGACTCCCCAAACATATGGAAGAAGGTACTCTGGTCAGATGAGACTAAAGTTTAGCTTTTTGGCCATCCAGGAAAACGCTATGTCTGGTGCAAACCCAACACCTCTCATCACCCCGAGACCACCATCCCCACAGTGAAGCATGGTGGTGGCAGCATCATGCTGTGGAGATGTTTGTGGGGAAATCATGCTGTGGGGAAACTGGTCAGAATTGAAGGAATGATGGATGCCGCTAAATTCAGGGCAATTCTTGAGGGAAACCTGTTTCAGTCTTCCAGAGATTTGAGACTGGGACGGAGGTTCACCTTCCAGCAGGACAATGACCCTAAGCATACTGCTAAAGCAACACTCGAGTGGTTTAAGGCGAAACATTTACATGTCTTGGAATGGCCTAGTCAAAGCACAGACCTCAATCCAATTGAGAATCTGTGGTATGACTTAAAGATTACTGTACACCAGCGGAGCCCATCCAACTTGAAGGAGCTGGAGCAATTTTGCCTTGAAGAATGGGCAAAAATCCCAGTGGCTAGATGTGCCAAGCTTATAGAGACATACCCCAAGAGACTTGCAGCTGTAATTGCTGCAAAAGGTGTGCAAATGATACAACTCCCCCCAAAATCCATTTTAATTCTAGGTTGTAAGGCAACAAAATAGGAAAAATGCCAAGGGTGGTGAATACTTTCACAAGCCACTGTATCTTTTTTAGTGACTGGGTGTATTGATACACCATCCCAAGTGTAATTAATAACTTCACCATGCTCAAAGGGATATTCAATGTCTTATCTTTACCCATCTACCAATAGGTGCCCTTCTTTGCAAGGCATTGGAAAACCTCCCTGCTCTTTGTGGTTGAATCTGTGTTTGAAAATCACTGCTCGACTGAGGGACCTTACAGATAATTGTATGTGTGGAGTACAGAGATGAGGTAGTCATACAAAAATCATGTTAAACACTATTATTGCACACAGAGTGAGTCCATGAAACGTATTATGTGACGTGTTAAGCAAATTTTTACTCCTATCGAGCAGATGATTAAGGCATATTCACTGAGAGGGAAAGTATTACACACTGATAGTCTAGACTTGGCATTACATTATCATCAGCTCAGTGAGATTTTAAAAGAGAATGCACATTGCTTATCCATATTCTATTGCACTGCAAAGAAGGATGTAGCATATGGTACAAGGATTTCACATATTGATAGAGAGTTGCTGTACTGTGTGTTAATATGTTAGATATGAGGCATATGGTAAGTATGTGTATTTGTAGAGAATAATGCTCTCAAAACCAAAGGGATAGGGCAGAGATACAGTGGAATGTGAATAGCAGAGAACAATTGAGTTCAGATGGTAGCTAAGCTGTTAAGCAGACCTTGCAGATTAAAGGTTGTGGTTTGTAAAGTAAACACTATCACACACATAAAATCACACACGAATGCACGGACACACATACACACACACTTTATATCCACTTTATACCCCAAAATACACACACACACACACACAAACACCCCCCTCCCCGCACACAACCCGAGTGGACACTTCAATAGATTAGCCCTGACACTCAGAGAGGGGGTTAAGGTGATGTGTACACAGAAGCTGACACTGGCCTGAGTGTGGGATGTATTAATGCTGACAATGTTAGAGAAGTAGGGAGAGCTTTCAGCACAGGGATTTGATCAAAGGCCTGCAGGGGAGAGAGGCTACCGGAGTAAAAAAGAACACATAACATCACTATCAGAGAGAGAATCAACTATCAGAGAGGTGGGGAGAGGAGCGAGAGGGGGAGATGGTGAGGAGAGAGAGGAGGGCAAGAGAGGAGAGAGCGAGAGGAGAGAGAGAGAAATAGAGAGAGATAGAGAGGGAAGATGAAGAGAGAGGGGAGAGAGAGAAGATAGAGAGGGAAGATGAAGAGAGAGGGGAGAGAGAGAAGATAGGGAGAGAATGAGAGAAAGGAGAGCGGCTGAGAAAGGGGAAAGCATCAGAGGGAGAGAGCACATCAGGATAGAAGAGAGAGCATTCCTATCAAACACTATCAGAGCACTGAGACCCAGAATAACACTGAACATCAATGACCTGGAACATAGAATAACATACAACCCTGGAACACAGTGAGATAGTTATAACCTCACTATAAGAACACTGGTAAATCACTGTCAGAAGCTGTAGCCTCAGGTCTCCAGTGTGTGTACGTGTGAGTGTATACGAGAGAGAGAGAGAGAGAGAGAGAGAGAGAGAGAGAGAGAGAGAGAGAGAGAGAGAGAGAGAGAGAGAGAGAGAGAGAGAGAGAGAGAGAGAGACCCACCCGTGGAGCAGCAGACGTAGACTCTCAGTCTCAGGCAGCTGTGGCCATGGTGATGGGTGGGCGTGGCTTCAACAGAACACAGAAGAATGTCAGCCATGTGCCATCTAGAGGCCAGCCTATGAACTAATATGGCTTTGGCTTTTTGGCACAATATGTCTTTGTCCCATATGGCACAATATTCACTATATACTGCACTACTTTTGACCTATAGGCCCTGGACAAAAGTAGTGCAGTACATAGGGAATAGGGTGCCATACGGGATGCAACCAAAGTGAAATGGTCATTATAGTTTATTACAGCAGTTTAACACAGTTACTTTATAGTGGTACATTTATTCAAAAGGAACAAAGTATATTTGGGGGTGTGGTGTAAGAGTTAAATTACCTAATGTAGTTTAATGACTCACAAATTGAATGCTGTAATAATCCAACTCTAACTTACTAAGGTATGTAGGTGAGTGCTACACATTGCTAATGGCTGAAGCTAATTCCCACTTACGATGTAAAGTACATGCACTTGGGCAAGCGCTATATAGATAGCCCATGCAATCGATTGTCATTACTCGACTATAACACTATATAGACAACGAGTATCTCAGCTCCACCACTTACAGATATAGTAGTACAATCATCATTACATCATTATTATACTCCTATACAGACTTAGTATAGAAATATTCCGCTCACATATGTAGTAGTACTCGTGGCCCACGTTGAACTCGTAGCCCAGGGAGAAGGCGCTGTAGCGCTGGAACTTCTCAGAGAACTTGATGGGCGCGTGGGGCGCATGCGGCCGGTTGCACTCCCAGCGCTTGAAGCCAATCTGGGGGTCGCAGGTGCGGTAGCCGCGGTAGCTGACCATGTAGAGGACGTACTGCTCAGCCACGGTGCGCTCCAGTGTCCCCCGCTGGCTGGTGGCGGTACTGTTGTAGTGCGGGCAGTAGATGTCCAGGTAGTCGTTCACCGCCACCTGCACCGTGTAGCCCTCCCTCCGTAGACTGTCGAGAGAGAGAGAGAGAGAGAGGGGAGAGAGGGGAGAGGAGACAGGGAGATGGAGGAAGGGACGGAGAGAGAGGGAGGGAGAGAGAGAGTGGGGGAGGGAGGGAGAGAGAGAGAAAGGAGAGAAAGGTGGAGGTAGAGGGAGGAAGAAGAAATAAAGAAAGAGAAAAAGAAGGAGAGAGAGAGAGGAGAGAACAAATACATTGATGAGTAACAGCATACTATACAACTCTTATCAGGAAGGGACTACTTTACCTGTGCATAAAAATAGTATTTTTCTCACTCTATTCCCAGTGGCAAAACCAACCAGGGTTGCTGCAGAAAATAATATCCAAGCCTTCAAGCCTACTGTCATTCCCATGAGCATGACATAGTCTGCGTCAGTGAGGCGGAAGGAGATCATGCCATTGGAGACGTGTGGCTCCTCTACCACAGGGAGGAGGGATATACTGACATGTGAAGGGGTCCCATGCGCGCATGGCGATCGAACACAATGTACCAGTGTGTTAGCAGGTACAGAAGGTCAATCTTGGGTTGGGACATGTGACGTCGCTTTAGCCTTAAGTGAGGAAATGAGGTGACATGATTTAACATCCTACCTCATAACATGGCTGTTAATCATTCTATGTATACTCATTATCATAACTGTACAAAGTATTATCATACAAACTTCTTATGCTTATCCTGAAGGGATGGAAAGGGCAATTAATGAGATATGAAGTATCCTTAGCTGTGGGTAGGAATCTGTGTCAGGATAAATGGCAGGGGAAATCTGCAACAACTGGAGCTGTATTGACTACTATGTAACATTAGGCGGCAGTATTGCGTTGCATTCAGCTCTAGGGTTTCCTCTCTCACTCTCTCGCACCCTTTATCTCAATTACAATCTCTCTCTATCTCACACACACACAAAAAATTAGCAAACACACATGAGTGAACGCTCACACGCATGCGCGCACACAACACAATACTAGGTCAGGTCTCAAGGGAGATTATTATTCAATTACAAAATGAGGATCACAACACCGTGTGGTGTGTGTACGTTTGCATAAATCGCTGCAGTTGCTCTGGCTCAGACATAAAAGGCCACGTTACTCTATTGAGCTTCCTGAGGTTGGCACTGTGTTGAAGGCCCAGACTAAATATGGGTCTCTCTCTCTCTCTCTCTCTCTCTCTCTCTCTCTCTCTCTCTAGCAGACAGATGAATATCATATCCCTTAACCACTGTTCTTTCCTTGCCATCAATCTTATCTCCTTGCTCGTACCCCACTCCTCTCTCAGATGTTGGATGACAGATTTTTGTCTCGCAGTGTTGCAAAAAGAAACAACACAGCCATGCTTCAAAGGGACTATATTTAGAGAGAATGGGAGAGAGAGGGGGAGGGAAGAAAACGAGACAGGGGAAAGAGAAAGAGGGGGGAGGAGAGAGAGAGGAGAATAGAGTAAGAGATAGTAAAAGAGGGAAAGGAAGAGGAAAGATGGAGAATGTGATGATGGGGAATCATGGATGCAAATGGGGTAGAAATGCAGGAAAGGAGCTTCAGTCATTGAGAGAGTAGGGGGAAAGGAATGAGTGAGAGTGTGTGTGCATTTACAAGTGTGTGTGTGCATGTGGGTGTGTGTGAGTGAGTGTTGAACACTGCGGCTTTAGTAGCGCACTTAACATGATGACAGAATTTTAGATCACAGTTCCGTCATAAAGGCACAGACAGAATCAGAGGAGGAGAAGGAGGAGGGAGGAGGAGGGAGATGGACGAGGTGATGCTCTATAGGTGTGTGGAGTCAGACGTATACTGAACAAAAATATGAACGCAACAGGCAATAATGTCATTGATTTTACTGAGTAACAGTTCATATGAGGAAATCAGTAAAATTAAATAAATTCATTAGGCCCTAATCTATGGATTTCACATGACTGGGAATACAGATATGCATCTGTTGGTCAAATATATCAAAAAAAAAAAAAAAGGGTCTCAAAATGGGCCTCAGGATCTCGTCACGGTATTTTTGTTCATTCAAATTTCCATAGATAAAATGCAATTGTGTTCATTGTCCGTAGCTTATGCCTGTCCATACCATAACCCCACCGCCACCATGGGGCACTCTGTTCACAACGTTGACATCAGCAAACCGCTCGCCCACACAACGCCATACACGTTGTCTGCGGTTGTGAGGCCGGTTGGAAGTACTGACAAATTCTCTAAAACAACGTTGGAGGCGGTTTATGGTAGAGAAATTAACATTCAATTATCTGGCAACAGCTCTCGTGGATATTCCTGCAGTCAGCATGCCAATTGCACGCTCCCTCAAAACTTGAGACATTTTGTTGTGTGACAAAACTGCACATTTTAGAGTGGCCTTTTATTGTCCCTAGCACAAGGTGCACCTGTGTAATGATCATGCTATTTAATCAGCTTCTTGATATGTCACAGCTGTCAGGTAGATGGATTATCTTGGCAAAGGAGAAATGCTCACTAACAGGGATGTAAACTAATTTGTGCACAAAATTTGAGCATATGGAAAAAAGCTTTTTGTGCATATGGAACATTTCTGGGATCTTTTATTTCAGCTCATGAAACATGGGACCTACATGTTGCATTTATATTTTTGTTCAGCGTATAAGCAGTCCACTTAGTGACACATGACACATGAGGTGGTGGGGCAAGGAGGGGTTGGGAAGGGAGGAAGATTTAACAACAGAGAGAGGGAGAAAAGTGGGAAGAGGGGGAGGTCTATGGGAGAAACTAAACAGGACAAAGAGGGGAAAATACAGTGAATGATGACAAACAAGTGAATAAAATGGAGAGAACGGAAGGCAGAGGGAGAGACAGAAATGTAGTGCACCCCAGGGATACACATATATGTAGTAGTGCAGGGACAAAAGAGTAATGGTGCCTCTCTTTCTCATCCTCTCTCTCCCCGCTGTGCATTGTCTCTGTGTCGTTTCTGCTGTCTCATCATCATTTTCCTATGAGTGGGAAAGCACTGCTCGTTAGTACAGCCAGCACAAGCTGGTGAAGACAGCCTAGAGAGAGGGGCGCGAGGGAGAGAGGGGAGAGACAAAGACAAAGATAGCACCACTGTACCTTGCACCACTGTCTCCACTAAAACAAGTATTTTGAGAATACAGCAACTATCAATAAATAACAAAGATACTGTAAAAGAGAAAGACCACAGACCACAGTGGACAGAAACTAGCGGTCTGTTCTGCAGTGTAAGATCTAAATAAAATCAAATTTTCAACCAAACCAACTTCCATTGTGAATGAGCATAAACTAAATGTCCATTACCGTTACATCACAGACAATACTGTTAGAGTAACAGCATTGACTGTTAGTAATAGTACATCTACATGCTGTTTACATGCAGGCTGCTGTCTGACCATCATATCCAACCAAACCTCTCCATTGTGGATGAGTATAAATAATATGCTCATTCATGTTAGTCATTACTGTTACATCACTGTCAATACCATCACCGTAAAAGCATTGACTGTTAGTAATAGTAGATCACTAGATCTACACGCTGTTCACATGCAGGCTGCTGTCTGTCCTAGCCTCACGACTCACACTAAATTATTCCGTTGCTCTGTCATTCGCTACATACTTTAGTCTGAGATTGCCATTGCATTCATAAAATGGTCAATACCGTTACATGATTCATTATGTTACATGGTTCATTATCGTTACATTCATGTCACTGCTGTTACAGTAACAGCATTGACTGTTAGTATTAGTAGTGTTAGTGTATCTACGCTGAACAAAACTATAAACGCAACATGTAAAGTGTTGATCCCATGTTTCATGAGCTGAAATAAAAGATCCATAGAAATGTCCCATTTGCACAAAAAGCTTATTTCTCTCAAATTGTGTGCATAAATTTGTTTACATCCCTTTTAGTGAGCATTTCTCCTTTGCCAAGTTAATCCATCCACCTGACAGGTGTGGCGTATAAAGAAGCTGATTAAACAGCATGATCATTACACAGGTGCACCTTGTGCTGGGCAATAAAAGGCCACTTTTTGTCACACAACACAATGCCACAGATATCTAACGTTTTGAGGGAGCGTGCAATTGACATGCTGACTGCAGGAATGTCCACCAGAGCTGTTGCCAGATAATTTAATGTTAATTTCTCTACCATAAGCCGCATCCAACGTCGTTTTAGAGAATTTGGCAGTATGTCCAACCGACCTCACAACCGCTGACGACGTGTAACCACGCAAGCGCAGGACCTCCACATCCGGCTTCTTCACCTGCGGGATCGTCTGAGACCAGCCACCAGGACAGCTGATGAAGCTGAGGAGTATTTCTGTCTGTAATAAAGCCCTTTTGTGGGGAAAAACTCATTCTGATTGGCTGGACCTGGCTCCCCAGTGGGTGGGCCTATGCCCTCCCAGGCCCACCCATGGCTGCGCCTCTGCCCAGTCATGTGAAATCCATAGATTAGGGCCTAATTAATTTATTTCAATTGACTGATTTTCTTATATGAACTGTAACTCAGTAAAATTGTTGAAATTGTTGCATGTTGCGTTTATATTTTTGTTCAGTATACATGCCGCTCACATTCAGATTGGTTTCTTAGTCTGACCATCAAACAACCTTCATTCAATCCCAATAAAATCGTCATCATCATCATCAATCCTCTCCCTCAAGGTCACCATTAAGGATTTACAGTTACAACACAGGTGAACCCATGTAATAAATGTACCAGTAACATAGTGATGCAGAATCAATGTCTTCCTCTGATTTCTCCAATTGTCTAACTAATAGAAGACCGACAGGCTCCTCTAGCTGCGGAATGAGACAGGGACAGGCTCTGCGGTTTTTTCTCGTACCTCAACACCAAAAGTCATTACATAATCTCCAAGTAAAAGTACACACGGTCTCCAGCAAATCCTCCCTCCGCTGATTTGGTTAGCCTCGTAATTAACGCACAATTTACTGTGTTTCGATCCAAAATGGAGGCTGAAAACAAATGCTGAGGCGTGGGGAAAAAAAGAGCTAGACGCTGCAGCCTTTCAGGCCTGGGATTACCCCTGGATCTGACTGGAGTCTAGTGATGATTCAGAGATGACTCAGGGTGGTGGTAGTGGGTGCTGCTCTACACTTTACACACACAGAGACGCATGCACAAACCGACGCATGCACACACACAGCACCAGTCTGTGTAATTGAGTCTGACTGCACACATTAGGGAAACAGGTCCCCATAGAGGAGCCAGGTCAGATTGGAGCTACTAAATGAATACCGTCCAATGACTGTAGTGATTCCAGCATGTGACAGTCTCCCTCTCAGGCAAAACAGCCAATAGAGGGGGCAGGTGGAAACAAAGGCCGCTCTCTGATTAGTGGAGAGCTGATAGTAAAAGACCACCAGGTGATGTCACAACACAACAAATAAATACCAGACTTTGAAGTACTTTCTTTACAGTGTACTTCAGAAGTACAAAACTACTAGCCTATAATAATGTATTTTCTATCAGCAGAGGTATGAGAGGAGTGTATGTCTGTATGCCAAATGGCACTCTATTTACACTATATTGTACACTGCTTTTGACCAGGGCCCAGTTCCCCAAAAGCATCTTAAGGCTAAGTTCATCATTAGTTCTACTTGATCCTATGCTATAACGATGAACTTAGCCTTAAGATGCCTTTGGGAAACCAGGCCCAGAGCCATATGGGCTCTGGTCAAAAGCAGTGCACTGTGAGGAATGAGGAGCCATTTGCCCTCTGCCCTCTCTCATTTGTCTCTGAAGGTGAGTCTCTAATTGTGAGTGGATATTAAAGGCCTCTGGCTCACCTCTATTCTTTCTCAAAGTGCCTCCTGATGAAAAGCAGATCTCATTCTCTCTCTTTCTTTATCTATTCCCTCGTTCTCTCAGAAGAGCTGTATTGATACCAATACAAAAAGCTGTGGTGTAGACAAGGCTCGCTATCTGAGAGCTCACTCGAAATGGGTTGTGTCAGAGAATGGAGGCTCTCATCACAGTGAATTCTCCACAGTGCCCTCCTCAGTGGGAATGTCAGGCACATGTTGTTTCGGCGAAGGCATACGAGAACACAGTGCTTATCCTGTAGACATGTCTCCTCTCAGGCTACAGGCCACATTGATGAGACAATGGTGTAGAAGAGCCAAGGGGTGAGAGGACTCCTGGAGGAGGTATGTGGACACGCACACGCGCACAGACACGTGCCCACACTAGGACACACAGACGCACGCACTCACGCATGCAAACACACACACATACAGTGGGGGGAAAAAGTATTTAGTCAGCCACCAATTGTGCATGTTCTCCCACTTAAAAAGATGAGAGAGGCCTGTAATTTTCATCATAGGTACACGTCAACTATGACAGACAAAATGAGAAAAGAAAATCCAGAAAATCACATTGTAGGATTTTTAATGAATTTATTTGCAAATTATGGTGGAAAATAAGTATTTGGTCACCTACAAACAAGCAAGATTTCTGGCTCTCACAGACCTGTAACTGGCTCCTCTGTCCTCCACTCGTTACCTGTATTAATGGCACCTGTTTGAACTTGTTATCAGTATACAAGACACCTGTCCACAACCTCAAACAGTCACACTCCAAACTCCACTATGGCCAAGACCAAAGAGCTGTCAAAGGACACCAGAAACAAAATTGTAGACCTGCACCAGGCTGGGAAGACTGAATCTGCAATAGGTAAGCAGCTTGGTTTGAAGAAATCAACTGTGGGAGCAATTATTAGGAAATGGAAGACATACAAGACCACTGATAATCTCCCTCGATCTGGGGCTCCACGCAAGATCTCACCCCGTGGGGTCAAAATGATCACAAGAACGGTGAGCAAAAATCCCAGAACCACACGGGGGGACTAGTGAATGACCTGCAGAGAGCTGGGACCAAAGTAACAAAGCCTACCATCAGTAACACACTACGCCGCCAGGGACTCAAATCCTGCAGTGCCAGACGTGTCCCCCTGCTTAAGCCAGTACATGTCCAGGCCCGTCTGAAGTTTGCTAGAGTGCATTTTGATGATCCAGAAGAGGATTGGGAGAATGTCATATGGTCAGATGAAACCAAAATAGAACTTTTTGGTAAAAACTCAACTCGTCGTGTTTGGAGGACAAAGAATGCTGAGTTGCATCCAAAGAACACCATACCTACTGTGAAGCATGGGGGTGGAAACATCATGCTTTGGGGCTGTTTTTCTGCAAAGGGACCATGACGACTGATCCGTGTAAAGGAAAGAATGAATGGGGCCATGTATCGTGAGATTTTGAGTGAAAACCTCCTTCCATCAACAAGGGCATTGAAGATGAAACGTGGCTGGGTCTTTCAGCAGAACAATGATCCCAAACACACCGCCCGGGCAACGAAGGAGTGGCTTCGTAAGAAGCATTTCAAGGTCCTGGAGTGGCCTAGCCAGTCTCCAGATCTCAACCCCATAGAAAATCTTTGGAGGGAGTTGAAAGTCCGTGTTGCCCAGCGACAGCCCCAAAACATCACTGCTCTAGAGGAGATCTGCATGGAGGAATGGGCCAAAATACCAGCAACAGTGTGTGAAAACCTTGTGAAGACTTACAGAAAACATTTGACCTGTGTCATTGCCAACAAAGGGTATATAACAAAGTATTGAGAAACTTTTTTTATTGACCAAATACTTAATTTTCCACCATAATTTGCAAATAAATTCATTAAAAATCCTACAATGTGATTTTCTGGATTTTTTATTCTCATTTTGTCTGTCATAGTTGACGTGTACCTATGATGAAAATTACAGGCCTCTCTCATCTTTTTAAGTGGGAGAACTTGCACAATTGGTTTATTGACTAAATACTTTTTTCCCCCACTGTATATTAAAAACTTTATTTGAATCCACAAATCACATTACACTCGAGAAGGAAACAAACATTTCTAAGGACATGGAAATTTGGACACTTATGGGTACAGTTAGCGCCTCATTCTCCACACAGCAAGGCTGCCCATGACTGCTGACACGGAGCAGTACCTTGTTAGCTGCTTTGCCTCTGTCTTATGCAGGCCTGCAATCTGATGACCTTGTACTGTCAGCCTATGTACATGGCAGAGACTCCCGAACATCAGCACCACAAGCTTGCACTGATAACCAAGGTTGCTCAAGCGTGACATGAGGGGCTGGTATTTCAGTAACTTGTCAGCAAAGGCCTGCTCCATGTAAGAGTGAAAAGAGCAACCCACTTCCAAAATGAGCATCTCCCTCCGGCGTCCCCCCACAACAACAATATCTGGCATAGTTGGTATACAAGAAAACACATCATCATCAAACCATCCTCCAATGACAAGAGAAGGTTTGTGAATGTGTGCTGTTGGTGAGGCTACCCCTCTCACCTCAGTAGCTATCAGGTCGACAAGGCGGTCATGTCTAGCTATGTGCAGGTCTTTGTATGAGCGGCAACCATTAACAACATGTGCAACAGACTCCATTACATTTGACTCGTGTAAGACACACACACACAGTCAACAGACAAACACATAAACCGAAGGACAAAGAATGCCAGCGAACAGCCCCGAGAAATAGAAAAGTAAACCCAGGAAGAAGCACACTGAAGCCATAAGACAACAGAACCATACCTACTTCCAAGGTTTCAAAGAGCAGTGTGAGCTTTGAAGTGTGTGAGAGCCTCAGCAGCTCTCATAGGAAGTCTGCTACAGTGGGGTGTTAGCTTTCACAAACCTAACTCTTTAAGCCTCTCCTTTGGGTTCGCACTGAGAGAGAGAGAGAGAGAGGGGGGGGGGAATGATAATGAGAGAGAGTATGAGAGAGAGAGAAAGAGAGAAAGGGAGAGAAAGGAAGAGAGAGTGAGAGAGATAGAGGATGAGTGAGAGGGATAGAACAGAAGAGAGAGATCATTGGAGAGGGAGAGAAGTAGAAAGGGAGAGCGAGAGGAGAAAAGGAGTGCTACCCTATTTAGTCTGGGCCTTCAACACAGTGCCAACCTCAGGAAGCTCAATAGAGTAACGTGGCCTTTAGTGTCTGAGCCAGAGCAACTGCAGCGATTTATGCAAACGTGCACATACACACGTATGTACGGACACACACAAATCCACGGTATGCAAACTTGTGCTTGTGAGCATATCAACACACATACTGTACATTGCTTATTCTTATACACACACTGTCCACATAGTTACCCATACAGTGCCTTCAGAAAGTATTCATACCCCTTGACATATTCCACATTTTGTTGTGTTACATCTTGAATTCTAAATGGATTAAATAGATTTTATTCCTCACCCATCTACACACAATATCCTTTAATGACAAGTGAAAACATGTTTTTAGAAATTTTAGCAAATTTATTGAAAATGAAATACAGAAATATCTCATTTACATAAGTATTCACACCCCTGAGTCAATACTTTGTAGAAGCACATTTGGCAGTGATTACAGCTGTGAGTCTTTCTGGGTAAGTCTCTAAGAGCTTTGCACACCTGGATTGTGCAACATTTGCCCATTATTATTTTCAAAATTCTTCAAGCCCTGTCAAATTGGTTGTTGATCATTGCTAGACATTTTCGGGTATTGCCATAGATTTTCAAGTAGATTTAAGTCAAAACTGTAACTCGGCCACTCAGGAACATTCACTGTCTTCTTGGTAAGCAACTCCAATGTAGATTTGGCCTTGTGTTTTAGGTTATTGTCCTGCTGAAAGGTGAATTAATCACCCAGTGTCTGGTGGAAAGCAGTCTGAACCAGGTTTTCATCTAGGATTTTGTCTGTGCTTAGCTCCATTTAGTTTATTATTTATCCTGAAAAACTCCCCAGTCCTTAACAATTACAAGCATACCCATAACATGATGCAGCCACCACAACTTGAAAATATGGAGAGTGGTACTCAGTATGGTGTTGTTTTGGATTTGACCCAAACATAACACTTTGTATTCAGGGCATAAAGTACATTTCTTTACAACATTTTTGCAATATTACTTTAGTTCCTTGTTGCAAACAGGATGAATGTTTTGGAATATTTCTATTCTGTACAGGCTTCCATCTTTTCACTCTGTCAATTAGGTTAGTATTGTGGAGTAACTACAATGTTGTTGATCCATCCTCAGTTTTCTCCTATCACAGACATTAAACTCTATAACTGTTTTAAAGTCTCCATTGGCCTCATGGTGAAATCCCGAGAGTGGTTTCCTTCCTCTCTGGCAACTGAGTTAGGAAGGACGCCTGTATCTTTGTAGTGACTGGGTGTATTGATACACCATCCCAAGTGTAATTAATAACTTCACCATGCTCAAAGGTATATTCAATGTCTTATTTTGACCCATCTACCAATAGGTGCCCTTCTTTGTGAGGCATTGGAAAACCTCCCTGGTCTTTGTGGTTGAATCTGTGTTTGAAATTGACTGCTTGACTGAGGGCCCTTACAGATAATTGTATGTGTGGGGTATAGAGAGGAGGTAGTCATTCAAAAATCATGTTAAACACTATTACACACAGAGTGAGTCCATGCAACTTATTTAGGCTTGCCATGACAAAGGGGTTGAACACTTATTGACTGAAGACATTTCAGCTTTTCATTTTCTATTAACTTGTAAAAATTCAGAAAAACATATTTACACTTTGACATTATGGGGTATTGTGTGTAGGCCAGGGGTGTGAATACTTTCTGAAGGCACACCGTGTGAAAATAATTACAACATACACACACAGAAATAGCAGAAAAAAATGAATGAATGTTTGATCCCTTCTTAAAATAACCTGTCCCTTTAAAATATCTGTTTGTGCAAACAACCTACAGCTTGCCTTACATAGCCAAGTGAAGACGCCCAGGGTAATTATTTACACGTTACACAACAGTACACTGGTGCAGTGCTGAGGAAAACTACTCAGGTAGCAACTAAATCTGTATCCTGGTATAAGGTGAGTCCAGGCCATCCAGGTTTAGAGCAGCAAGAGCAGAGCGGTGGAAGATGGACCATATTTTGCTTCCTGAATAATTGACTGGCACAAGAACACGTGGTTTCTCTCTCTGTTTATTCCAGCTCTCTCTGTCTCAGGTCCATGACTTGGGCGGCAGGTACATAAAGACCTTACTAAACAGGAGAGAATACATACGTTCAAGGTATTATCTGTGATAAAACAATAAAGTGGGTGAACCTATGTCAAGGTCTTCTCCAAGGCAAGTTCTTTATTCTGACTCCGTGTCTATATAATACCCAGACGTTCTACAAGTTTACTTACGCTGTAGGATCATTTTTCTTCTAATAGGGATTCAAGGTTCTTATGAATGGAAATAAGGGTCGCTCTGGATAAGAGCATCTGCTAAATGACTTAAATGTTAATGTAAGGGACCACAATGAAATAAGTCATTGACCGTCATCCCTGACAAGTGTTAAAATGTATGTACTGTGTGTATGTGTTTTGACACAATAAAGTCAATAGCCCAAAATGTTAAATTGTCAAATGAAATCAATCAATGAACAGTTGAGTGGCTGGCTCGTCAAGGACCGCCAAATATATTGAGAAGAGAAAGATGAGCATTAGCTGGAATTACATGGCAGAGGGAGTATGTACTAAACCAAGTGCAGCAAAATAAACAATCTCATACTTTCCAAATTCACTAAACCCACCATCTTTGAAATCCCACTCCAGAACTGGTTGTTACGTTCCCCAGCTAGAAAACCAAATCATGTCGCTCAAACAGAAGGGGGAACTAACAAAGAGTTACTGACAACAACCAAAACAGGTGGGGTTATAGGAGGGGTTCTGAAAGACACTCATGGGGGTGTCCACTGACTAGAAACAACAACTGGAACATAAGACACCCACCATGAGCGGCCACTACATTTGCCCAAGAATAGGCAAACAAAAGAAAATCTCTCTCTCTCAGGGTGCCATTTGAAACGCAGCCAGTGAGACTACATCAACACCTTCAATGGGCAGAAGAAACACTTTAATGTAGCCTAATATGGGACAATACGTATTTCGAAGGACAAATACAATAGGAGAAAAAGATGGAGGTTTTTTACAGACTGCAGATTGATATTGCACTTCTGGGTTAAAAACTGGGGTTGTGTTCATCTGTGAATGTGGTGGTTGTGGAAACAAGACAAGGTGAGAATGAGACAAAGGGGAAAACACACATGCACACGGAAGTGAGTGAGCACACACAAAATGGACTGGCAAAATGTTCTAAATTCTCTGAATTTTAGTTGGTTTACTATTCTTGTGTACTAGTAAAACGTGTACACACCGACACACACACACAGAATGAGAGAGCCTTGTTAACTACTTTAATCAGTGTTAATCACTGCAGACTCTCGCCTCACTGTCAGACTGAGACCAGTCTGTCTGACTATAACAAAAAGAGAGAAAAAGAGAAAGAGAGAGAGAGAGAGAAGAAGAGAGAAAGGGGGGGAGAGGGAGAGAGGGGAGGGTGGAGAAAAAGAGGCACAGAAACAGCTTGTAAAAATGTGAAATGGTATCTAAAAATATACAGTGCCCACAGAGCCGCGAGACCGTGGCAGTTTTGATGTACTTTATCTTATACTTCAAGGTCTATTTCTTAGGCCCATATGGCCAGGCCTTGGCGGGAGAGGTGGACAGGCCAAGCCATCACGGTCAGGTTTTAATTTCAGTCAGGGCCAGGGGGACAGCACGGAGGGCGGGGAGCGAGGGACCACGGAATGCAGAGCAAGCCAGGCGGAGAGATAGAGAAGAGGGGAGGTAAAGAAGGAGAGATGAAGGGATACAGGGGGAAGAGATAAGGGGAGAGGGGGAGGCAGTGAGGGGGGAATGAGAAAGGAACAGCAGCACAGAAATGGAGATAGAGAGGTAATGTGCTTTACACAGAGGAGAAGAAAGGGAGGCCCAGACGGAGGGAGGCAAAGGGGGAAAATTGAAAGATAAGAGGGATAGATTATTAAGAAAAGACGGATAATGTATAAATGAACTTGGAGCGAAACGGAGAAAGGCAGCCAAAGAGAGAGAGAAAGAGAGAGAGGGAGAGGAAGAGAGTTGAGATTGTGTTTATCCAAAAATAATACAAATTTGTTTTTTTGAAGAAATGGCTTTGGCCTTCACGGTTTAACCAAAACTTTGTAGAAAGCTTAGCCGCCTGCATAGCAGGAATAGTCATCAGAATAGTAATGCCTGTGTTTGGTGATTAGAATTTCAGATAGAGTCTGCCTGTGCTCAGGCTATGATGCGAGGCCCTAATGCAGCCAGTTTGTATAGTGGAGCATGCAGGAACTCTGAATGTGACCTTATGTGCGTAAAAAGATAGCATAGAACGTCAACTAATGTGTTTCTCTTTTAGCGAGCATGTGAGCGTAGGAATTGCATGTGTGGGCGTGCATTCATATGTGCAGCTGGAGCATGATGGAGAGGAGGTGGTCAATGTAATCGTGCGTAACATAGGCTACCCTACAGAACATACTGGAGTGTGTATGGCTCGTGACTCGCCAAGCAGCACTATTGAGGGTTAAGTAATTCAGATCTGCTAGCCAACATGCTTTGTGTTCTGGTGTGCTAGTGTTTATACAGTACAGGGCACTTACAGTACCAGTCAAATGTTTGGACACACCTACTCATTCAAGGGTTTTTCTTTATTTTTACTATTTTCTACATTGTAGAATAATAGTGAAGACATCAAAACTATGAAATAACACATATGGAATCATGTAGTAACCAAAAAAGTGTTAAACAAATCAAAATATATTGTAGATTCTTCAAAGTATCCGCCCTTTGCCTTGATGACAGCTTTGCACACTCTTGGCATTCTCTCAACCAGCGTCATGAGGTAGTCACCTGGAATGCATTTCAATTAACATGTGTGCCTTCTTAAATGTTAATTTGTGGAATTTCTTTCCTTCTTAATGCGTTTGAGCCAATCAGTTGTGTTGTGACAAGGTCGGGTTGGTATACAGAAGATAGCCCTTTTTGGTAAAAGACCAAGTCCATTTTATGGCAAGAACAGTTCAAATAAGCAAAGAGAAATGACAGTCCATCATTACTTTAAGGCATGAAGGTCAGTCAATCTGGAAAATTTCAAGAACTTTTAAAGTTTCTTCAAGTGCCATTGCAAAATCCATCAAGCGCTATGATGAAACTGGCTCTCATGAGGACCGGCACAGGAAAGGAAGACCCAGAGTTACCTCTGCTGCAGAGGATAATTTACCAGCCTCAGAAATTACAGCCCAAATAAATACTTCACAGAGTTCAAGTCACAGACACATCTCCACATCAACTGTTCAGAGGAGACTGTGTGAATCAGGCCTTCATGGTCGAATTGCTGCAAAGAAACCACTACTAAAGCACACCAATAAGAAGAAGAGACTTGCTTGGGCCAAGAAACACGAGCTATGGAAATTAGACCAGTGAAAATCTGTCCTTTGGTCTGATGAGTCCAAATTTGAGATTTCTGGTTCCAACCGCCGTGTCTTTGTGAGACGCAGAGAAGGTGAATGGATGATCTCCAGCTATTTGACCAAGATTGAGAGTGATGGAGTGCTGCATGATGGAGTGCTGCATGACCTGGCCTCCACAATCACCCGACCTCAACCCAATTGAGATGGTTTGGGATGAGTTGGACTGCAGAGTGAAGTAAAAGCAGCCAACAAGTGCTCAGCAGATGTGGGAACTCCTTCAAGACTGTTGGAAAAGCATTCCAGGTGAAGCTGGTTGAGATAATGCCAAGAGTGTGCAAAAGCTGTCATCAAAAAGCAAAAGGGTGGTTACTTTGAAAAATCTCAAATATAAAAGATATTTCGATTTGTTTAACACTTTTTTGGTTACTACATGATTCAATATGTGTTATTTCATTGTTTTGATGTCATCACTATTATTCTACAATGTAGAAAATAGTAAAAATAAAGAAAAACCCTTGAATGAGTAGGTGTGACCAAACATTTGACTGGTACTGTATGTGAGGTAGTGCCAGGCGGATACATACAGACACACACACGTACACATGGACAGCCACACACATGCACACACACGCACACGCACACACACACACAGGTCACAACAACTCCCTGTTGCTGCTACCTTGGCAGTGTGTGTGTGTGTGATTGACAGCTGTCAAACGACAGAGCACCAGGAGGAGGAGAAGAAGAGAAGGAGAGAGGGAGAGGTGTCAGGGTAGAAGTGAAAGGGAGAGCCAGATGGAAGGACAAAGATAAGGGAAGAAGAAACAGAGGGGAAAGACAGGGATGAGGGAGGGATGGATGGATGAGGGAGGGATGGATGGATGGATAGATGAGGGGTGGATGGAGGGATGGTGTCACGATTCTCTAAAGCAGAACCCAGAAGCAGACCAGGACAAGGTGAGTAGACAGAAGGGGAGTATTTATTTAACGACTCAAATGTGGAAGCAGGATAATTCAGGAGACGGAGCGGGCAGCGGAGGTGAGTTGGTGGAAGTGAATAGGCAGATCCAATGATGTTACAGAACCCACCGACGACCAGGCAAGGGTGGAGTGAATGTTCCGGGAGAATAACTGTAGAAAGAGTAAACGGAGGTAAATACACGGCAACCAAAAAGTACAAAACAACAAAACTAGCTCTAGAAAACTTGAGGCTGATACGCTGACACAACATACTGTTCATGGCTAACGATCCGGCAGGGAATGGATGTCAGGTCAGAGCTTATGAAGTGAAGAGGTGATGATCAGGACCAGGTGTGCAGATAGCTGATGAGATGCAGGTGCGGGTAATCGAGAGATCTCCCGCCTAGCTTCGTCGCCCGGCAACCAGACAGGGTGCGTTCAGGAACCTTCAGGAACAGACTCCAAGACAGAAAACAGGCAACTCAGGCAGAAACAGACTCAGGAAGTGGGATTCATGACAGTAGCCCCCCTCCGACGAACGCCACTGGGCGGACTACCCGGAGCGCCAGGATGGAGGCTGTAGAAGTCACGAAGGAGGTCAGCATCAAGGATCTGACGCCGAGGAATCCAACTCCTCTCCTCAGGACCATACTCCTCCCAGTCCACGAGATACTGGAAACCCCGACCCCGCCGTCTGGAATCCATGATGTGGCGCACCGTGTAGACAGGGCCACCTCCGATCATCCGAGGAGGAGGAGGAGGAGGCGGAGGGGGCAGCAGAGGGCTGAGGAGAACAGGCTTGAGGCAGGAGACATGAAAGGTGGGATGGACTCTGAGCGTCCTAGGCAATTTGAGTCGAACCACAACAGGATTAATCACTCCCCTGGAGATGATGTACCCGAGGAAGGATATAGTGTGGGCGTGAAAATCACACTTCTCTGCCTTCATAAACAGGCGGTTCTCCAATAAACGCTGCAGGACCTGCTTGACATGCTGGACGTGGCTGGAAAGCTCCTTCGAGAAGATGAGAATGTCATCCAGGTAAACGAACACAAAAAGACCGATCATATCTCTCAGAACGTCATTCACCATACTTTGGAACACTGCTGGGGCGTTGGTCAGTCAAAACGCCATCACTTGGTACTCGAAATGTCCCATAGGTGTATTGAACCCAGTCAACCACTCGTCCCCCTCTCTGATCCGGACCAGATGATACGCATTGCGTAGATCAAGCTTCGTGAACACAGTAGCACCCTGTAAAGAGTCGAAAGCAGAGCTCATCAAGGGCAGGGGATACTTGTTCTTGACCGTAATATCATTCAAACCCCGATAATCAATACACGGTCAAAGAGAGCCATCCTTCTTACTCACAAAAAAGAATCCTACTCCCAGGGGTGATGACGAGGGACGAATGAGACCAGCAGCAAGAGACTCCTTTATGTAGGTCTCCAAGGCTTCACGTTCAGGTCGAGAGATACTGTATACTTTTTTTTCCAAGATGGCGTAGTAGTGCAGTTGTGTTTTTATCGTATGTCTGTAAATAGCCTTTAAATACCCTATTTTTCTGTATTTTTCGTACATATTTCCATATCAGACTTTTCATCCTTCTACAAAATATACTTTCCTGCAACCCGCCTCACTCAATGTGGAACGGATTCTATTATTGACTTACCTTTATCTAGAATCTAGAATCTCCAGTTGAAGCCAGCTAGCCAGCTAACTAGCTACTTGCTATTAGCCTCAGCTAGCGGTATTTCACCCAGAACATTGGATTTTTTCTGCGGGATTAATTTTAATCACTGGACATTAATCACTGGATATTCGGCCAGTCTGCACAGCGCGTTATCGACCCAGAACATATCAGTTTTTCCGCCGGAATCACTGAATCACTGGACCTTTAACTCCGGATTCATCGCTATCAGCTAGCTACAACAAAACGGACGCTGTGGTCTGGCTAATCATCCTGAGCTAGGCCCATCTCCCGGCTATCTACCTCTCTGTCAACCGGACGGGACCACCTAGTGTTGACACGGAGCCCCGCCGATCCGACACGACTGGTCTGCCGACGAAATCGTCTGATGTGGTTACGACGTTAACCAAGAAGATTCCATCCATCTGCTAGCCCCGGCCCGCTAGCACACGCTAGCCGTGGCCTCTTACTCACTAGTTTACCACCGGACCTTATGATAACTCAGCTATACAGCTGATGTCTGCTGGACTGTTCCTTTTTACGGTACTACATCCTGTTTATGTTTAGCCTCAGCCCAAACATGGTTAGTTTATTGTTGTTTCGGTTATTTCTAATTTTACTATATCACTGTAGACCCCCCAGCCTAGCTAAACCTGCCTTAGATAGCTCCTTTGCCCCTCCCCCTATACACGCGGAGACCGACTCAATTGATGCCTCCAGCGATACTATCTCTTTCATTGTTACCCAACGCTTAGGTTTACCTCCACTTTACTCATATCCTTCCATATCCTTGTCTGTACATAATGCCCTGAATCTTTTCTATAACACCCGGAAATCTGCCCCCTTTATTCTATGTACCCAACGCACTAGAAGACCAGTTCTTAAAGCCTTTAGCCGTATCCTTATTCTAGTCCTCCTCTGTTCCTCTGGTGATGTAGAGGCTAACCCAGGCCCTGCAGCCCTCAGTATCACTCCTACTCCCCAGGCGCTATCATTTGATGACTTCTGTAATCGCAAAAGTCTTGGTTTCTTGCACATAAATATCAGAAGTCTACTTCCTAAGTTTGAGTTATTCACTGCGTTAGCACACTCTGCCAACCCTGATGTTCTAGCAGTGTCTGAATCCTGGCTCAGGAAGGCCACCAAAAATTCTGAAATTTCCATCCCCAACTATAACATTTTCCGTCTAGATAGAACTGCCAAAGGGGGTGGAGTTGCAATCTACTGTAGAGATAGCCTGCAGAGCTCTATCATACTATCCAGGTCTGTGCCCAAACAGTTTGAGCTTCTACTTCTAAAAATCCACCTTTCCAGAAGTAAGTGTCTCACCTTTGCCGCTTGCTACAGACCCCCCTCAGCCCCCAGCTGTGCCCTGGACACCATATGTGAATTGATTGCCCCCCATTTATCCTTAGAGTTTTTACTGCTTGGTGACCTAAATTGGGATATGCTTAATACCCCAGCCATCCTACAATCCAAGCTAGATGCCCTCAACCTCACGCAAATTATCAACGAACCTACCAGGTACAACCCTAAATCTGTAAACATGGGTACCCTCATAGATATCATCCTGACTAACATACCCTCTTAATACACCTCAGCTGTCTTCAACCAGGATCTCAGCGATCACTGCCTTATTGCCTGCGTCAGTAACGGGTCCGCGGTCAAACGACCACCCCTCATCACTGTCAAACGCTCCCTAAAACACTTTAGCGAGCATGCCTTCCTAATTGACCTGGCCCAGGTATCCTGGATGGATATAGATCTCATTCCGTCAGTAGAGGATGCCTGGTTGTTCCTTAAAAGTAATTTCCTCTCAATCTTAAATAAACATGCCCCATTCAAAAAATACAGAACTAAGAACCGATATAGCCCCTTGTTCTCCTCAGACTTGACTGCCCTTGACCAGCACAAAAACATCCTGTGGCGTACAGCATTAGCATCAAATAGCCCCCGCGATATGCAACTTTTCAGGGAAGTTAGGAACCAATATACACAAGCAGTCAGGAAAGCAAAGGCTAACTTTTTCAAACAGAAATTTGCATCCTGTAGCACTAACTCCAAAAAGTTTTGGGACACTGTAAAGTCCATGGAGAATAAGAGCACTTCCTCCCAGCTGCCCACTGCACTGAGGCTAGGAAACACTATCACCACCGATAAATCTACAATAATCGAGAATTTCAACAAGCATTTTGCTACAGCTGGCCATGCTTTCCATCTGGCTACCACTAACCCGGCCACCAACTCTGCACCCTCTGCTGCAACTTGCCCATGCCCCCCCCCCCCGCTTCTCCTTCACACAAATTCAGACAGCTGATGTTTTGAAAGCGCTGCAAAATCTGGACCCCTACAAATCAGCTGGGCTAGACAATCTGGACCCTTTCTTTCTAAAACTAGCAGCCGAAATTGTCGCAACCCCTATTACTAGTCTGTTCAACCTCTCTTTCATAACGTCTGAGATCCCCAGAGATTGGAAAGCTGCCGCGGTCATCCCCCTCTTCAAAGGGGGTGACACTCTAGATCCAAACTGCTACAGACCTATATCCATCCTGCCCTGCCTTTCGAAAGTATTTGAAAGCCAAGTTAACAAACAGATCACCGACCATTTCGAATACCACCGTACCTTCTCCGCTATGCAATCCGGTTTCCGAGCTGGTCACGGGTGCACTTCAGCCACGCTCAAGGTCATAAACGATATTATAACCGCGATTGATAATAGACAGTACTGTGCAGCCGTCTTCATCGACCTGGCCAAGGCTTTCGACTCTGTCAACCACCGCATTCTTATTGGCAGACTAAATAGCCTTGGTTTCTCAAATGACTGCCTCGCCTGGTTCACCAACTACTTCTCAGATAGAGTTCAGTGTGTCAAATCAGAGGGCCTGTTGTCTGGACCAGTCTCTATGGGGGTGCCACAGGGTTCAATTCTTGGGCCGACACTTTTCTCCGTGTATATCAATGATGTCGCTCTTGCTGCTGGTGACTCTCAGATCCACCTCTACGCAGACGACACCATTTTGTATACATCTGGCCCTTCATTGGACACTGTGTTAACAAACCTCCAAACAAGCTTCAATGCCATACAACAATCCTTCAGTAGCCTCCAACTGCTCTTAAACACTAGTAAAACTAAATGCATGCTTTTCAATCGAACGCTGCTGGCACCCGCCCACCCGACTAGAATCACCACTCTCGACGGGTCTGACCTAGAGTATGTGGACAACTACAAATACCTAGGTGTCTGGTTAGACTGTAAACTCAACTTCCAGACTCACATAAAGAATCTCCAATCCAAAGTTAAATCTAGAATCGGCTTCCTATTTCGCAACAAAGCCTCCTTCACTCATGCTGCCAAACATGCCCTCGTAAAACTGACTATCCTACCGATCCTTGACTTCGGCGATGTCATTTACAAAATAGCCTCCAACACTCTACTCAGCAAATTGGATGTAGTCTGTCACAGTGCCATCCGTTTTGTCTCCAAAGCCCCATACACTACCCACCACTGTGACCTGTACGCTCTTGTTGGCTGGTCCTCACTACATGTTCGTCGTCAAACCCACTGGCTCCAGGCCATCTATAAATCACTGCTAGGCAAATCCCCGCCTTATCTTAGCTCATTGGTCACCATAGCAGCACCCACCCGTAGTCTGCGCTCCAGCAGGTATATCTCACTGGTCATTCCCAAAGCCAACACCTCCTTTGGCCGCCATTCCTTCCAGTTCTCTGCTGCCAATGACTGGAACGAATTGCAAAAATCTCTGAAGCTGGAGACTCTTATCTCCCTCAATAACTTTAAGCATCAGTTGTCAGAGCACCTTACCGATCACTGCACCTGTACACAGCCCATCTGAAATTAGCCCACCCAACTACCTCATCCCTATATTGTTATTTATTTTGCTCTTTTGCACCCCAGTATCTCTATTTGCACATAATCTCTTGCACATCTAGCATTCCAGTGTTAATACTATTGTAATTATTCTGCACTATAGCCTATTTATTGCCTTACCTCCATAACTTGCTACATTTGCACACACTGTATATATATTTTCTGTTGTATTTTTGACTTTATGTTTTTTTTACCCCATATGTAACTCTGTGTTGTTTTTATTGCACTGCTTTGCTTTATCTTGGCCAGGTCGCAGTTGTAAATGAGAACCTGTTCTCAACTGGTTTACCTGGTTAAATAAAGGTGAAATAAAAAAATAAATAAACGTCCCTTGGGAAAGGCAGCTCCAGGAAACAGATTAATCGCACAATCATAAGGTCGGTGGGGAGGAAGTGACAGAGCCTTCTGCTTACTGAACACTTCACCCAAATCGTGATATGTCTCTGGAACCAGGGACAAATCTGGGGGGGCAGAATCAATGACCCGACTGGGAACAGCATGGGAACAGGCAGTCCTAAGGCATGACACTCAATGCTCCAACTAGTTACCTTACCCGTCACCCAATCGAACGTGGGATTGTGTTCTCTCAGCCAGGGGTATCCAAGAACCAGGGGAACATGGGGAGAATGCAGAATGAAGAAGGAGATAACCTCTGAATGATTCCCTGACAACAGCATCTTCACCGGTTCAGTCCTCATAGTGATACGTGCCAAAAGACTGCCGTTCAGAGTGGTAGCTTCAATGGCTTTCGGTAATTGCTCCTTGGAAAGCCCCAGCTGTTCCACCAAGTCAGCATCCATAAAGCTGCCATCGGCACCTGAATCAATAAACGCGTTGATCGCTAAACTCTGATTCTTGTTCATGAGGGTTGCAGGAAAACGGGGTCGGACAGGGCAATTGAGAGGCTGAAACTGGCTCGCTAAAAGTCCTCCCAAACTTAGGACAGTTTAACGAGCGCTGGGTACAAGCGGAGATGTAATGTCCCGGGCTACCACAGTAGAGGCAGCTGTCGGTCTCACGTCTACGTTGGCGCTCCTCCTTGGTTAACCCGTGCCGCCCCACTTGCATGGGTTCCGGATCTGGAGGCAGGACCCTTCCTCTAATCCCGTGTGGTGAAAAATGATCGGCACATTCTGGTCCACTTCCTGACCCGAATGGTAACCGAGTAGCTGAGTGATTGGACGGCCCCCATTGCTTCTCCCTCCTTCTCTCTCGGACTCTGTTATCTACCCGAATGGATAATGCAACCAAACTGTCCAGGTCACTAGTCTCAGGATAGGAGATCAGCTCATCCTTGAGTTGCTCCGACAACCCCTGATAAAAAATTGCTGGTAGTGACTCCTCATTCCACCCACTCTCCACAGCCAATGTCCTGAATTCAATAACATAGTCTGCTACACTGCGAGCTCCTTGGCAAAGCGAGAACAGACGCTTAGCTGCGTCCTTACCTCGGACTGGATGGTCAAAAAGCCTCCTCATCTCTGCCGTGAATTCCTGGTATGACGCCAGGCAGGTCTCCTGTCGTTCCCATACGGCTGAAGCCCACTCCAGGGCTCTTCCACGCAGCAGTCCAATTACAAAAGCTATCCTGGCCTTGTCTGTGGCTTAAGAGTTGGGCTGCAGATCAAACACCAATCCACACTGCATAAGAAAAGAACGGCATCTTCCCAAATCCCCTTCATACTTATCTGGCGTCGGAACCTTGGGCTCACGGAAGGGAACAGCTCCAGAAGCGGCAGGCGAGAGGAGTGAAACAGGTGGTGGATTCTCCGCCGGCAAACTGAGCTGAGCCTGGATACTCGTCAGACTGGCAGAAAAGTTCCGAACCGACAACGCTATCTCCTGTAGCGCCGTGCTGTGTTTTCCCAACATCTTCTCCTGATGGGTAATGGCAATGTGAACGGAGTCCAAGTCCGCTGGGTTCATCCTTGGCCGGATCGTTCTGTCACGATTCTCTAAAGCAGAACCTAGAAGCAGACCAGGACAAGGTGAGTAGACAGAAGGGGAGTATTTATTTAACGACTCAAATGTGGAAGCAGGATAATTCAGGAGACGGAGCGGGCAGCGGAGGTGAGTTGGTGGAAGTGAATAGGCAGATCCAATGATGTTACAGAACCCACCGACGACCAGGCAAGGGTGGAGTGAATGTTCCGGGAGAATACAAAACAACAAAACTAACTCTAGAAAACTTGAGGCTGATACGCTGACACAACATACTGTTCATGGCTAACGATCCGGCAGGGAATGGATGTCAGGTCAGAGCTTATGAAGTGAAGAGGTGATGATCAGGACCAGGTGTGCAGATAGCTGATGAGATGCAGGTGCGGGTAATCGAGAGATCTCCCGCCTAGCTTCATCGCCCGGCAACCAGACAGGGTGCGTTCAGGAACCTTCAGGAGACAGACTCCAAGACAGAAAACAGGCAACTCAGGCAGAAACAGACTCAGGAAGCAGGATTCATGACAGATGGATGGATGGATGGAGGAATGGATGGATGGGTGGATGGATGGAGGGATGGAAGAAGGGATAACCCCCTCCCCCCTTCCCTCTGTCAGTGTCTGTGATCATCTATTCCTACTGTTCTCTATATCAGTGACTTAGAAACCTTCAGCACAAGACCCAAGTTGAGATGATGAATTGAGACACAGACAGGAGAAAGGACAGAGATTAGGAAACACAGACAGATGATGAAAAATGACAAACCGAGAGAGAGCGCCTGGGAGAGGAGGAGAGAGGAAAGTGGAAGAGAGAGGGAAAGGTGACATTGAGAGAAGTGTAGAGGAGACAGCTCCTGGCTTTTAGCTGGAGGACGGCCACAGGATGACATTAGTGTAACACACTTTGGCTACACCTGCTGTTTGAGAGGCACACACACACACATGCACAGACAGAGACGCACGCACACACACACGCATGCGCGTGCACACACGCACACACAGGTAAAAATAAGCATTTTAGGCAGATTCCAAACTTAACCTGTGGGGATCTTGCCTCCCAATCACCTCTATTCTAGTTTTAGTAGATAAACTTCCCATGTGCAGTACAATATATGGTTCCCAAAAACAGTGATGGTAGTTTCGGAGAGGAGTAACCGGGTGAAATAAACTAAACTATCATTACTCCTTGGGGTGGTTTTCCGTACACAGATTAAGCCTAATCCTGGATTTAAAAGCATTTTCAATTGAGATTTTCAATTGAAAATGCTTTTTAGTCCAGGACTAGGCTTGATCTGAGTCCGGAAAACCACCCCCTTATATGGTTATCGCTGATACATGGACATTCTTATCTGCCATTTTAGCTTCATTTCGGTCACATTTTAGTGGATGTGTTGTTTAAACAGTTTAAAACACAAAAACCAGCCGTATCAGATAATGTCATCTTCTACCGTTTACCGTCAGAGGCTCAATAAGCCTAGGGTTGATAGTAAATGGCAGTGTAGACCTTGGTGGCCGTCCAAAAGGGAACGACCAGTGGTCTACCGATGAGGCTGAAAATTGAATTTATAACGTCCTCTATTAGACACAACACTACCAAAAAACAACACTACCGTAAGTCACACGCCAGAGTTTACATGGAGCAGAAATAGAGGGGGAGTAGAAGAAAGATGGGAGGCAGGCAGAAAAACGAGATGGAGAGGACAAAGAAAAAGGTAAAATGAGGAAGCGGGTGGAAAAAGATATGCATTCAATGATGAAAATAGCATTACCCCCCCCCCCCCCCCCCCCCCAGACAAACACAGTGCCCTTTACCTCTCCCTCGGAGCGAGGCATAAATGAGTGGAATGACAGACAGAGAGAGCCAACGGGTCCCCTCCCCAGAGAGGGTAAACGCACTCATCCATACTGATCTTAAAACAACAGCCTCACTCCCTCTCTCTCTCCCCCCTTCCTCTCGCTCTCTCCCTCCCCTCCCTCCCTCCCTCCCTCCCTCCCTCCCTCCCTCTCTCACGACCTCCCACCCGCCTCTCTATATGTCTCCACCCTCTTTCGCTCTCTCTGTGTCTCCAACACCCTTTCATTCATCCTCCCTTCTCTTCTCCTTTTTGTCTCTTTCGTTTATCTATTTAACCACCTTATTTTTGCATTTGCAATGCTTTCTCATCCTCCTTCCATGATGTCTCTCTCTACTGCTGTGCTTTACCCCAAAATCAGTCAGAATTATCGTCTTCCGCCCTCATATCCAATCTTTACATATACCCATTTTCTGATTCTCTTTCTCCACATTCTCATCGATCGATCATTCTGCAATACACGTTTCAGTCTCATAAAAGTGTTTGACCCGGTGTCATCACTCTTTCACCACAAGCTTCTCTGTCTTCTTTATCTTTCTCTTGTGTTTTCCTGTTCCACTTCAGAATCAAATGTTCCATGAGCTCTCCAGTGATGCCCTTAGCTTTCATTGTGGTAGAGCCCGCATTTAAAACGGTGCACAGTCGATCTCCTCAACCCTGATTCACATCTAGACTCAGACTAAATAAGAAAGCATTTCTTGACTCTGACACCGTTGAGATGCTGCGGACGCATTTCAGCGGTTGACAAATGAGGCGACAAATTGACTTCAATGAAGCATTCGAAAACAACAAAACACCCAAAGCAAATCTCACTTAACTAAACACTGGAAGAAATCGCACAATAGGACCGGGGGCTTATCACACATTATTTCTCTCCCTTCCTGTCTTTCCTCCTAATCCCCCTATTCCCCCTCTCTCTCTCCCCCTCCCTGTTTCCAGTGGTTTGCGCCCCAGACGCACATTGACCCTAGCGCTGTGGACCAAGTAGGGGGCCTTGTTCCTCTGCATCGCTCCACTGCACATGACTGACATACTTTGTAAGGGAGGGAGGAATGGAGGGAGGAATGGAGGGAAGGAAGGAGGGCGGGAGGAAGGGATGGAGGGAGGCATAGCGTAGAAAACAGAAGAGTGCTAGCCGCGCTGAGGGAGGAGAGGGAGCTGAATGTGATTTATGATCAATGGTGCTTCTCCAATTACATTCCAATTAAAGTAGCGTCTCGAGCACGGCTCTAGTACACCGTGTCGGCAGAAGGGCTTTTGACAGTCTTTGTATGGGCATGGGTTACTGCACACACTCATACATACACACGAATGTACGCACACGCATGCACGCACGGATGCACACATGTCCCCAGAATAAGTGTATCTCCACCCAATAGTGTTGGTTTGTGTGCGTGTGTGTGCGTGCCTGTGAGAGAATGCAGCCACCTTATCTGAAGTATAAGAGTGAGTTTATTTAAAGTCAGATTAAGGGCAGTTCAAAGGGATAATGCCCACTATTACATCGATGCTGGTTTAACACCACCTTACACTCTACAGTTGATAAAGAACCAGGGAGATGGAGGGGAGAGGGCAGCTGACCAGATCAACAAGGCTGGCTGGAGACTGGAAGTTAGACTGGAGAAAATAAATTGATGTCGAGGACTGTAGCATAGCTCCAACTTGTTTTTTTCTGTCTCTGATTCTCTGATTTCGACATGATACTTACTAAATGTGGCAGTGCATTTGGATTTGGATTGAAATGTTGAATGCATGCTTGAACGTATCCAGTGGAAATAATCACTTCAAGTTTACCGTGGCACAACCTACCAACGAAGCGTTAGGGACTGCATTATTACATGTTAGAAACCAGTAATTATTTGTGACAACGGGTTAGTCATCACAAACGTCCTCTCGGCAATTTACACTCTGGCATATTGGATTTAGTAACACATCATCATCGGCGTTAATTACAACAAGCAACCTGTAATAATGCAATATTAATGTGTTTAATGATCACAAACAACATGAGTCATCCATCGGTTGTGTAGCAAATGGCACCCTCTTACCTACATAATGCACTACTTAGAGATTAGGCGCCATTTGGGACGCAGTCAAATCAGACCTGACCGGTCTGAGTGCTTAGGTTCCATCCCAAATGGCACCCTATTCCCTATATAGGGATATCCATTAGAAATACCTTAGTAACCCAACTGCTGCTTCCTATCCTAGACTATGGTGACATCATCTATCAAAACACAACCAAACCTTACTTTGCGAAATAGATGTAATTTATAATAATCTTTGCAGATTCATTCTTGGATGCTATTATTATAAGGTAAATAATTGCACAATGTATGAATCACTAAAATTGTCTGTCACTCCCAAACAGAAGACAACTGCATTGGTACCAATTTATTTTTAAATGTATCAACTTAAATATCCCTGTATATACTAAGGAACACTTAACTTGACAAAAATCACACTACTCCTTTCGACCACAGCAGCAATTACAAATTCCAAGGGTACATCAAATTTCAAAAAAATATTTGGTTCTATAGAGCACTGATCAAAAGTAGTGCACTATAATAGTAAATATAGTTCTAATTGTTCTCCATGCTCCCATCCGGCAAGGCTCAGACCAACAGACCCCTAAACAGCTTCTATTTAAGACTGTTAAATGGATTAAACAACACAAGGTGCTAAGTAGAACCATAAAGGGTTCTTTGGTTTGGCCCCATAGGGGAACCATTTTATGGTACAGTGAGGGAAAAAAGTATTTGATCCCCTGCTGATTTTCTAAGTTTGCCCACTGACAAATAAATTATCAGTCTATAATTTTAATGGTAGGTTTATTTGAACAGTGAGAGACAGAAAAACAACAAAAAAATCCAGAAAAACGCATGTCAAAAATGTTATAAATTGATTTGCATTTTAATGAGGGAAATAAGTGTTTGACCCCCTCTCAATCAGAAACATTTCTGGCTCCCAGGTGTCTTTTATACAGGTAACGAGCTGAGATTAGGAGCACACTCTTAAAGGGAGTGCTCCTAATCTCAGTTTGTTACCTGTATAAAAGACACCTGTCCACAGAAGCAATCAATCAATCAGATTCCAAACTCTCCACCATGGCCAAGACCAAAGAGCTCTCCAAGGATGTCAGGGACAATATTGTAGACCTACACAAGGCTGGAATGGGCTACAATACCATCGCCAAGCAGCTTGGTGAGAAGGTGACAACAGTTGGTGCGATTATTCGCAAATGGAAGAAACACAAAAGACCTGTCAATCTCCCTCGGCCTGGGGCTCCATGCAAGATCTCACCTCGTGGAGTTGCAATGATCATGAGAACGGTGAGGAATCAGCCCAGAACTACACGGGAAGATCTTGTCAATGATCTCAAGGCAGCTGGGACCATAGTCACCAAGAAAACAATTGGTAACACACTACGCCGTGAAGGACTGAAATCCTGCAGCGCCCGCAAGGTCCCCCTGCTCAAGAAAGCACATATACAGGGCCGTCTGAAGTTTGCCAATGAACATCTGAATGATTCAGAGGAGAACTGGGTGAAAGTGTTGTGGTCAGATGAGACCAAAATGGAGCTCTTTGGTATCAACTCATCTCGCTGTGTTTGGAAGAGGAGGAATGCTGCCTATGACCCCAAGAACACCATCCCCACCGTCAAACATGGAGGTGGAAACATTATGCTTTGGGGGTGTTTTTCTGCTAAGGGGACAGGACAACGTCAACGCATCAAAGGGACGATGGACGGGGCCATGTACCGTCAAATCTTGGGTGAGAACCTCCTACCCTCAGCCAGGGCATTGAAAATGGGTCGTGGATGGGTATTCCAGCATGACAATGACCCAAAACACACGGCCAAGGCAACAAAGGAGTGGCACAAGAAGAAGCACATAAAGGTCCTGGAGTGGCCTAGCCAGTCTCCAGACCTTAATCCCATAGAAAATCTGTGGAGGGAGCTGAAGGTTCGAGTTGCCAAACGTCAGCCTGGAAACCTTAATGACTTGGAGAAGATCTGCAAAGAGGAGTGGAACAAAATCCCTCCTGAGATGTGTGTTAACCTGGTGGCCAACTACAAGAAACGTCTGACCTCTGTGATTGCCAACAAGGGTTTTGCCACCAAGTACTAAGTCATGTTTTGCAGAGGGGTCAAATACTTATTTCCCTCATTAAAATGCAAATCAATTTATAACATATTTGACATGCGTTTTTCTGGATTTTTTTGTTGTTATTCTGTCTCTCACTGTTCAAATAAACCTACCATTAAATGTATAGACTGATCATGTCTTTGTCAGTGGGCAAACGTACAAAATCAGCAGGGGATCAAATACTTTTTTCCCTCACTACATATGGTATATGGTTCTACCTAGAACCCTCTATGAAGGTCTCTGCCTAGAACCTTCTATGAAGGGTTCTAACATTTTATGAATAGTTCCACCAGCCTTATTAGCCTTTCAAATACAATTATTTATGACAATACATTACATACAGAGTGTACAAAACATTAGGAAAACCTTCCTAATATTGAGTTGCACCTCCTTTTGCCCTCAGAACAGCCTCAATTCTTCAGGGTATGGACTCTACAAGCTGTCAAAATCGTTCCACAGGGATGCTGGCCCATGTTGACTCCAATGCTTCCCACGGTTGTGTCAAGTTGATTGGATGTCCTTTGGGTGGTGGACCATTATTGATACTTACGGGAAACCTTTGAGCGTGAAAAACCCAGGAGCATTGCAGTTCTTGACACACTCAAACCGGTGCGCCTGGCACCTACTACCATACCCCGTTCAAAGGCACTTCAAACTTTTTGTCTTGCCCATTCACTCTCTGAATGGCACACACACAATCCATGTCTCAATGATCTCAAGGCTGAAAAAGCATTCTTTAACCTGTCTCCTCCCCTACATCTACACTGATTGAAGTGGATTTAACAGGTGACATCAATAAGGGATCATAGCTTTCATCTGGATTCACCTGGTTCCTAATGTTTTCTACACTCAGTGTATATACCTTTCTTTGAGGGCCTAGTTAAACCCTAACACAGTGCTGTTAGGAATCTCCTGGTTTACAGGCCACATCAGGCCTGCAAGTCACATTATGCTGGCATGCAAAATGATGTGTAATTCCTATTAGAATCCAGCCAGAGTTAGGATTTCCAACAAGTGGAATTGTTAATCAACTGCAACCTGCATTCAGAATGACTGCCAGGGTAGGGAAGATTGAATACTGAGA